CTACCTGGTTAGGTTGATGTCTGAGACCATGAACACTCAATCACCCTGATAGGGTCACCGCTTTTCTTATCAAGGGCAATCGCTGACGAGACCAGTCACAACCTGTAAAATATGGCCTAATCGAAACACGTATAATCTTCCGAATTGGTCCGTCTGGTCATTATTGTCTCAGCAGCAACGCTGTGAGACCGCTTCACAGAGACTGTCGATTTCCGTTTCAGACATCAGTTGTGCTAATGGAATGCCGTTCACTCGGCAGTATTGTGGTAGCGGATACGTTTCCCAATCACTCCCAATCGCCAAAGCCGTCACATCTTTTACGGAGACCCCAACGCGTTTCGCAATTTGAGCGGTTAGGTGTGCTCATTAGCGGTACCCCCGTGTTCCTCTCGCAGCACCCGATAATTTTCCGCCGCCGAGAACTAATTGATAGTTGCGTCATTAGCGGCCGAGTAGTGATTTTCGCGGGTGATAAAGAGGGAATTGCATAATGATCTCTTGGCATATCCGAGCTGCGTGCTGTGTGGTGGTATTCCGGGAACTAAATATCCCAAGTCACGCCCTGACTAGTGGGCGAATCGTTGTATGTCTGTGACGCTTGTTGACACGAAACCGAGAGAGTTCCTCTGAGACGGGTGGTAAGGGTAGATAGTAATTCCTAGCTTCGTGCTCGCCAGTTAGCCCTTCCAATCGAACCAGTTCTGGAAAATAGAAAATGTGGGCAGCAGTATGACCACAATTCGCTGCGAGTGGAACCTGCGTGTTTCGTAGTGCTCGCGCACAGGATGCGGCCGAAGAGGATGCATCAAAGACATTCCTTATGGTCGCTTCTGGCCATGCCTTCCGGGGGAGAGGCAGATCGTCTGTCTGTTGAAAGAAACACACCATGATGGAGAGAGTGCGTAGCTGTCGCCATCCGACACAAAGACGATTTCGTGTGCCGTCTCCGATTGACACAAGCCCCAGGCAGCCGAAACGGCAAGCTGACTGTCGCCCAATAAAGCTACTTTCATCTATCACACCTATAACGGACTTACGGAAAGTCGATTCATTTGCGTGCTATGTCTACGATCGCGCCTTTTGTGACGGGGCGCGTACCAATTCAGCACGCTTGAAATACCGATGTACGTTAAAAACCTAAAACTACACTAAAAGGGTCTCAACAATTGCTTGAAATTGCTCCTCAAGATATTGACGGTGGTTGTCCATTTCGGAATCTGATGCCAGTTTTGTGGATACCAATTCATCGTAACGTTCAACGTATTCGAGCAAGGTGTCCACCTCTTTTTCATAACAGATTGCCGAGGCGAGTACTTTCTCCTTCAACAAAAGCGGGAGTTCCGTCTCAGTAATCTGGGTTAATTCCCATCGCCACACCTTTTCGGATATATAGGTGACAAACTGATCAAGCAGATCCCCTTTATAGTCGGTGCTTTGAAGTGCCTTCACCTCCTGAATGAGTCCCAAAACATGGTTGAACAGTTCATCTGGAAATTGTTGTCGCAACTCCATGAGTAGCCTACCGGTCGTCGATATCGGCAGCTGATTTTGCAGGAGGAACATCCGCAGATTCGGATAATCTTCAACACTCTTACTATCGCCAAGCCATGTTTCGCCTATCGCAGGTAAATCGCTTACATCGAAACTGAGTACCTGCTGTTTCCGAATCTCCTCAAGGTTAGAAGCGCGCGGATCAAGCCCGGCTGTTGCTAAAGTGGCGATAACTTCTTCCTGCCGGTAAGGTCTTAGGAAAGTCACAAGCTCTTCGACTTTCTGCTGCTCTGCCTCAACAGCCTCAACATTTACTACGCTGCCATTTTGGGAGTTTCCACGCTTCCGCTTTTTCCCTTTTGGGGGTGAATTTGTGAGTCTGTTTGCCCGTTTCACTAAAGTGTCATGATAACCGATCAATTCTTCGTGGAGTATCGCAAGTAAGGTATCACCATGGATAGCGAGCATCGCCGCCGTAGTGATATTTGCCAATTCGTGCCCGGTTTTTGAGATAACAGCCCGATTCAGGTTGCGTTCTATCAATTTCCGGTCCTTTTCGGCTTGAATAATCAGTGTACTGCCCAACATGAGGTTAATTAGCCTTTTTGCCTGGTCTGGTACACTGAGATTAATATCACACGTGGGTTGGACCTCGGCAAGGAGGCGCTCGCGGAGTTTACCATCAAGCACTAACGTCCACAGCGTAGCGTAATGCTGTTGTGCATCCGCTTTCGGTGGAAGGTTTGCTAACCACTGCTTTATGGTTGGTAAATACACCTTCACATGGTCAAGCAATCGTTCAAAAGCGTCATCAGGAATTTCAAAACCGGTGAAATCAGCAGTCCTGCCTCGCTGCTGCGCTTGTTGTGCGCGGCGCTGCACCTGCCCTGTTTTCGCTGCCAGTAGGAGATCGACTAACGGTTGAATAACGCCTTCAAAATCTTGCTTTGTGCTGACTTACGAAGTTCGCGAGTTCCAGTAATTCCAACCAGATAGTCGTCAAACGTTCGATTTGAGTAGCATGCCAAGTCGAGCGGAGGGTGAAACCAGCCATTTTCTCACGCACGGTCGCGCGTGTCCACTTCGGTAGATATATCTCATCTAAGAGTTCGTTATTTTCAAAAGTTAGGAGTTCAACCTGTTTGACAAGGCCTGTCTCAATGAAGTCTTGTTCAAACACTAAATCATGAAACAATCCGGCAGCCCTATCCAGTACCTGATTCGCCAATTTGTAAGAGGATTGAATGAGGTGATTCAGGGTTAACTGTTGATTATCCTGTAGCTGCCAAAATTCTATCATAGGGTCAATATTTTGGGTGAGTGCCTCCGTTTTCGCCGCTGCGACTGCCGCCTCAAAATTTTCGGTAAGATATTCCCCGTAAAAATCAACGAAAGCGAGTATTGTACTCCGCAATTCTCGAATCACGAGATCGTCCCATACCTTATTATGAACGCGTTGCCCAGGTCCTAGCACAAGGGCTCTCAAACGGGTCTCCACTCCCTGCTGGAATTGTGCCATAAGTTGATAGGCGTGCTGGTTGGCTTTCACCGTATACGTTTCGATTTTCTTTGAGCTCTCAGCAATCGCGGTCTCAATATCTTCGTCAGGTGCGTTGAATGTGACGGGTACTAACTTGAGCGTCTCCGGTTCAAGTGGATCGTAGACCGCCGCTGTAGCAAGCACTTGAATGGAATCAAGCATTTCAACTGCATCCGGCATCTCCTCATCTTCATCATCAGAAATATCAGACAATCGGGTACGAAGTGTTAGACTGTACCCCAAATCAGCGAGGTCAGGGTACTGTTTAATATGCGTCCGAAGGACTACAAGGAGTACGTCGTAGTCCTCTGTGAATATTCGATCAAAAAGGACATCCTCATTGAGATGGATGCGATGGATATGAGTTTGCTCTGGAATAATAACAGTTGCCGAGTGCATATCCTCGGCATGCGTATCATCAGTTTGCGCGAGTACATACCCGCCAGTTTTGATAGTGCTGGGTATTGCTAAACGTGCTTTCAAAACATCCTGTGTGAGTTCAGAAAGCGTTAGGGATTTTCCCAAATTTTGGATGGTTATATCCGAGACAACGCCATCGGCGAATTCTGTGATTTGACGTGCATTCCGTTCCAATTCTTGTATACTTCTGTGGACCCGATCATAGTCGTCTTGTGTCTCAGCAGTGACTTTCGCTTCGTCAATCCAAGAGACCCACGCCCCTGGACGCGGTCGCATTTTCAGCGTAAGTTCGCCATCCTCTGAGTCAAAACCGGGTAGAATGTCGCCTTCTGAAGTCTCTTTCGGTGTCCAAATGATCAAGTGTTTATCGGATTTGACACCAAGCCCCAAGCCAAAAGTATCTCCCCAACTCATCCGCCCCTCAATACTGGATTTGATTTTAGCAGTTAACGTAAAAAGCGTCTCTGAACGAAAATTAAGTGATAATCCTTGCATTGGGTCGATTTGATATGCGCCTTTCAAATAAATTTAGGCAATAAATTTGTAAGTGACCGGTATATGCCCAACGATCTTGTTTTAATTCAAACCGTTAGGCCAGTCAGTTAAATAAATTATAGATTGATTGTAAACACAACGCGAACAGATATTTACTGTGTCGGTGCTGTAATGAAAGTTCTGGCAGTCGTAAAAGTGTGTTAATATCAATGTAATTTTAGCCAGAAGGCACCCTTTATGCTTACATCAACCAAAATGATAAGAAAAAAACTGAATATTTCACTCCCGCCTTATCGGCTAATCTGATGTCCGAGTACTGTGCAATAGACTTCACCAAGGCTAATGAACCTCAAGCCCCCATGCGTCCCAGCCTTGTATCTGCTTGCGTGCAAACAGTTCAATCTTACACTGATGCGGAAACATTTCCTCAATCCGCTCACGCACCATATCCGGTTTTTCAGAGTGGCGTGACCGTTTCGTTTGAACGAGTTGCCTAACGTTTCGCGCACCGCGTGGTTGTGGAATTTTACCGCGTTTGAAAACGAGGCACAACTCACATTGGCTCATCGTATAGAAACCGGGGTTTACGCGTTGCTTATCCCAAATAAAGGCGACTGTTGCCCACTGAAACCCCCAAGCCTTGCCAAGCCGAATCGCTTGATCCAGGTGCGGAGATGAACTCCACATAAAAAGCAGGCAATTCTCTTCACTGATAGCGGCAATATCCCACATCTCCATTTCTGACACCGGTACAGTCGGATAATGCCGAATTGCGCCTCCACTGTCTTTGCCGCCGATCCCTGTATGTTGAAGTTGCCCTTTGTAATCCCAAGGTGGATCTACGTAGATAATACCGTACTTTTTATCCGGAAAGGGAGCGTATGATGCCATTAATTCCTACTTCGCTTCAACACTGAGTCCCTCTTGAGGGATATCGTTGTTAGCGACAAGCATGTCTCGGTCAAAAATGAAGTCACTACGCGAACTCCCCAAACTTTCGCCTTCTTTCTGACGTTCACGGAAGAATTGAGGGAGCGTTAATCCGGTCATCCGGATAGCATCTTCGGGACAAGCTTCAACACAGTACCCACAAAAGATGCAGCGCAGCATATTGATTTCAAAGACATCGGGGTACTTTTCGCGCTGGTAGCCTTCCTTGGTTTGCCACCCTTCGGGTGCCGGTGCCGCCTGAATGGTAATACAATCAGCAGGACAGGCAGTCGCGCATAAGAAACATGCTACACACTTAATTTCATCTTTCTCTGTCGTCGTCAGTTTATGAATACCGCGATACCGCTCGTTCCGCTCATCCACGCTCCTCGGATCTTCAGGGTACTGGTATGTCAATTTCTTTTTTGGGATATGCTTCAACGTAGTAAACATCCCCCTAATCAAGGCTGGAATATAGAGTCTATCCCAAAAAGACATCTCTTCGTTAAGCTTCATAAAACACTTCCTTTCTGTATCCGTGCAAAACACCAACTACTAAAAATGTGGCGAAAAACACGTTGAAATAATACCTATGAGCTGAGATTCGTAACCGTATAATTCGGTGCTTCCTCTGTAATATCAATATCGTGTGGATGGCTTTCGCGGTAACCGCTGCTGGACATCCGGACAAATTGGCTATTCGTACGTAACGTGTTAATATCTGCGGTCCCACAATACCCCATCGCAGAGCGAATTCCGCCGACTAACTGATAGACGAAATTACTGAGTTTGCCTTTGTGTGGTACCCGTCCTTCAATTCCGCGAGGCACGAGTTTCGAGATATCCTCTGTGCTTTCCGCTGGCTGTCGTGCGCTCCGTTTCCGTAATGCACCTATTGACCCCATTCCACGGTGCATTTTATAGGTTCTCCCTTGATAGATGACTGTATCGCCTGGGCTCTCGTCGGTTCCAGCCAATAAACTGCCAATCATGACAGAACTGGCACCAGCACCGATGGCTTTGGCGATGTCTCCAGAATAACGGATACCGCCATCAGCGATAATCGGAACGCCTGCTTTATCCGCTTCCTGTGCACAATCGTAAATTGCTGTAATCTGAGGGATACTGACCCCAGCCACCACACGGGTTGTGCAAATAGAGCCGGGACCAACGCCGACTTTTACTGCATCGGCACCGGCATCAATGAGGCTTCGTGTGGCTTCAGGCGTGACGACATTGCCTGCGACGAGTTCAACGTTTGGAAAGTGGGCCTTAAGGTACTCCGTTGAGAGGATGACGTTTTTGGAATGACCATGTGCTGTATCCAATACAAGTACATCAACACCCGCTTCTACCAAGCGGTCAACGTCTTCCAAAGGCGTTGAAGGTAGGACAGCGGCACCGACCCGTAACCGACCGGCGTTGTCTTTACACGCTTGTGGAAACATCTGAACTTTGTCAATATCCTTAATGGTAATTAACCCACAGAGTCGGGAATCGTCATCCACAATCGGCAGTTTTTCTTTTCGAGATTTGTGGAGTATTTCTTTCGCTTTATCAAGTGTAATCCCTGGTGCAGCGGTAATCAGTTTGTCTCTGGGTGTCATCCGTGCGGTTAAGGGGAGCTCCAGATTATCTTCATATTTAAGATCACGGTTGGTAATTAGACCGACAAGATACCCGTCTTTGGTAACGATAGGTACACCGCCGATGTGGTAACTCTCTGTCACCTCAAGCGCATCACGAATTGTCTTATCCTCCGTTAGCGTAATCGGTGCAGTAATCATACCACTCTCCGATCGTTTTACCCTGTCGACTTCGGAAACCTGCTCATCAATAGAGCAGTTATAATGAATTATTCCGATGCCTCCTTCCCGCGCAAGAGCAATAGCAAGGGCAGATTCGGTGACAGTATCCATAGGCGCGCTACAGATAGGAATGTTTAGCTGGAGGTTACGTGTCAGTTGTGTACTCGTATCCACTTGATCCGGCAGCACATCCGATTCAGCCGGAATCAGCAAAACATCGTCGAAAGTTAACCCTTCTTTTGCAAATTTCGGGGGGAAGACATCGGAAATTTTAGTCTCCATCGGAATCGCCTCCTTTATTGCTAATTGAAATAGACAGGATAGGCTCAGAAAGGGTGCCTACGGCCACTACTTGCAGGATTATACACACAATGCACAGTTATACCGAAAAACATTTCGCTCCAAGTCTCAACATATTATAGGACATTTTCTTTTTTCTGTCAAAGGTATCTGTTGTGCCGATGCACAGTGGGTCTTTTATCCACAGACTAAAACCCGCTAAAGTGCATCAGGTATCCATAATCGGTTTTGTACAATGAAGTCAATATTCCTTCTATTTAATTATACAGGAAAATGAAAATTATATCAACCAATTTTTTCTCTCAAAAATCTGTATCTGTGATATAATAGTCGTCAGTTATCAGTTATCAGTTATCAAAGGAGATTTAGAATGGATAACTTAAATGTTGGGATTGTCGGGCTCGGTTGGGTCGCTGGCGCTCATATCGAAGCCTTTAAAACCGTTACAGGTTCGGATGTCACTGCTATCTGCTCACGGCGCGAACACGATGAATCTGTATTGGCGGAAACATACGGAACACCTCTCAAAGCCTATACCGATTTTGATAAAATGCTTGCCGACCCAGACGTACATATTATTGATATTTGTACACCACACCCTTTTCACGCGGAACAAGCCATCGCCGCTGCAGAAGCCGGAAAACACCTCATTATTGAGAAACCGATCTGCCTCACGTACGAAGATGCGAAAACCGTTCGCGATGCCGTCAAAAGCAATGGTGTCAACGTCTGTGTCTGCTTTGAGTGCAGATATAGTGCGCATTTTACGATGATCCGCTCCGTAATTGACAATGGACTGCTCGGCGAACTCCACTACGCCGAAGTCGATTATTACCACGGTATCGGACCTTGGTATGGGCAATACGAATGGAATATCAAAAAAGACTTTGGCGGCAGCACACTACTCACGGCTGGATGTCATGCCCTTGATGCACTCCTCTTTTTTATGGATGGAAACGTTGAAGAGGTAACCGGTTATCACACACAATCCACGGGTGCTAATTTTCAACCTTATGAATATAAGACGACAAGTGTGAGTCTCATTAAGTTTGAAGGTGGTGGAAAGATTGGGAAAGTTACCTCCTGCGTTGATTGCTTGCAGCCCTACTATTTCCACATCCACCTCGTAGGAAGTGAAGGCAGCCTACTTGACAACCGCATCTACCCGCGAAACTTAAAGGGATGGATAAAAGTAAGTGGAGCACACTTGAGACTTCGCTTATTGATTCTGGCGATGTCAGTGATCATCCATACGAACCACAGTTCCAAGCTTTCATAGAGAGTATTGGTCGAAACGAACCGATGCCATTAACCGATTTTGATACGGCGTTTGAAACACACCGTGTCGTGTTCGCCGCCGATATGTCCGCAGAAGCAGGTGGCAGAACCGTTAAACTGTCCGAGCTCGCTTAAATTACCACCGCATTGCTGCCTCGCGATAGAGCGTAATCTGCTCCATATTGCGAGGCACTACGACATGGATAGATTTCCGTTTCCGATTGACATCTTTGAGTACAATCGGGGCGCGAAGCATGTTCGTCATTGTGACAATGCCGGAGTGGTAGAAAACCCACATACGTTGTTCTGTATAGGGATTGAGAACGTACTCCGAAGTATGCTCGGAAGGATGTCCACCTGCGCCAGCAAAGAGGTCGTGCTTCGGGTACGCAAGTTCAACGCTCGTATCATGTCCCTCTAAAACCAATTTTTCAGGCGGCGGTTTGGGCGAATATCCGCTCAACTTACAGGACCGAACCCGGATAGGTGCGGCTGATTTGTTAATCAGATGCAGCGATACAACGATGGCGAGGCGATGGTTGTCGTCGCGGTTGATAAACCATGTATCTTCGGGGATAACCTCCACTGTTAATCCTGGAATCTGCCGTTTTCTGTGATAGACGATCGCCAACAGGACAAAACTGATTACACCGAGTACGACCGAATTGCCGGTAGGCGTGGCTAAGAATTGCAGCAGCTGCTTTAAAGCTTGTTGTAGCACACGATCTCCTTAGCGAGTGTATCTTCTGAAATCACGCCGTGCCGTCGGATAAGCGGCGGTGAGACAGAGATGTCATAGACCGTAGACGGAATGGGTCCTGGTGTTTTGCCGCCATCGACTATCATATCAATTCGCGATGCGAGTTCTTCACCAATTTCTTGCGGAGAGGTAGCTGGCGGTTCGCCAGAGAGATTCGCGCTTGTTATTGCCGCTGGTCCGCCAAAAGTTTGAAGGATTTTCAGAAGTAGTGGATTGTTCGGGATGCGTACCCCAACTGTGTTACCACCGGCTGTCAATATCGGAAGTAGATCCTTTGCTTCAACGATAATTGTTAAACCACCGGGCCAAAATTGGTCTGTGAGGTGAAAGAAGTAGTCAGGTAAGTTTTGGGCAACGCGATGGACATCATCAACCGAACTGAGGACGAGTGGAATCGGCTTACCGTCTGGTCGTCCTTTTAACATGTAGAGCCTTTGCACAGCATTTGCATTAAACGGATCTGCCCCCAATCCGTAGACTGTGTCGGTGGGGACAGCAACAATACCGCCTGATTTCAGGCATTCTACGGCTTCAGTACACACATCAGATTCCAAATCCATCTCCTGTTTAGACATCCACGATAGAGCCGTTTGCAGCGGCATTCAGAGAGAGACTGTCTCGAAGTCCTTGCTGATACTTCTGGTAAGCAATACCGGCAATCATTACGCCGTTATCTGTACATAAATTCATCGGTGGATAGTAGAGTTCGGCACCGATTTCCGTGGCGGCGGTTTTCAGCGAAGCGCGAAGTTGGCTATTTGCGGCAACCCCACCTGTCAACGTTATTGTTTTGGCACCGGTGGACTTCGCAGCACAGATTGATTTGTAAACGAGAACATCAACAACGGCAGCTTGAAAACTGGCAGCGATATCTTCAACGGTTACCGTATCAGGGTTCGCGTCCTTAGCATCCTCTTGTCCGTTTTCCACCAGTACGCCTGCACGCTGTGCTTTCTCAACAAAATAACGAACCGAGGTTTTGATACCACTAAAACTAAACTGGTAGTCCCCGCTATTTCGCATCGGTCTCGGAAATTTTATCGCTGAAGGGTTCCCTTTCTGTGCGAGTTCATCAATGATCTTGCCACCGGGAAAACCGAGTCCGAGGTACTTCGCAACCTTATCGTAGACCTCACCGGCGGCATCGTCTTGGGTGCTTCCTAATACCTTGTATTGCCACCCTTCGTGAACTTCTACGAGTAGGGTATGCCCTCCAGAGACCGTGAGACAGATATGCGGAAACGTTAGGGCATCATGTACCATAGGTTTCGATAGCAAGTTTTGGCTTGCAAGCTGTGCCAAAAAGGGCGCATAGATATGTCCCTCAATATGATTAATACCGAGCAACGGCAGGTCGTGACAATAGGCGAGACTCTTTGCCGCTGCAACACCGACAAGCAGTGCCCCGATTAAGCCGGGCCCGATTTGTCACTGCTATCGCTTCCAAATCCTTAAATGTGACATCCGCCTCCGCTAACGCTCTACTGACAATGTAGTTAATGGCTTCAATGTGTTTGCGGGATGCGAGTTCCGGTACAACGCCACCATATTCTTGGTGTGTCTCAACCTGTGAGGCGACAATATTAGAAAGCTACTTCTTTGCCATTCGCAACAACGGCTGCAGCTGTTTCGTCACATGAGGTATCGATGCCGAGTATTTTCATACTTTTAGGATAAATCTCATTATTCCTCGTTTATAGTGAAACCTAAAAATAAAGCGACCTTTTCTCCCTGTAGGTTCGTTTCCTACCGACCGGCACAGAGTGTCCTATTAATTCTAAACTTTACTATAGTTGCAAACGGGCAGAAATCGGTAGATGAAATAATTCTTCACGCAACAAGCGCGTGGAGAAGAACAAAACTTCGAGATTCTCGATATCACCCGTGTCTGGATTGAAACGCGCGATGATTTCATCAGCAAGTTCTTCACTCTCTGTTCTGGATATGGAGGGCAAGTGTTCACATACAAAATATCGGCATCTCTGTCATATTGAAAAGTTAGGTTCGTTTCCATTCAATGTCTCATTTTCTTTCGGAATAAGTAGTTTTGGACTTGAGATAAGGTTTTGATTAGAATAACGCAAGTTTCCAGCTATTTATAGACATAGCACCCCTCATGAAGTTTAACAAATAAATTGGGTAATTGTGGTTACGCGACGTGCGATGAATCGCACGACTACGAACCGATCTGCTTGTCGTCCGAAAACCGTTTGTCACACGTCCCAGAATTACCCGTTTAAATCCTTAATCTTCATCTGGGGTGCAGTGGCTTGAATACGTCATTTTCTATAGACATATCACCTCTCTGGGACGGGGAAAGTGCCTGAAAAACGGTGTTGAAACACCCAAAATTCGTTAGTAGCAACGTGGGTTACGTAGTGCATTCAATCCTTTGTTGTGAAATAATACCCATTCTGATTGACGGTTTCTCTTAAAAGAGTCTACTGTTTTTGGTTATGCCCGGTGCGGTTAGGAAACCGCACCTACCTGGGTCTGGGTGAAGGGTGCGGTTAATGCAATATAAACTTTTAGAAATGGTATAAGTTATTGATTAGACTTAGTGAAATTGTTTCCCCGGCAATTGCTGAATGATCCCCTTGAGTTCCAACATCAGCAGGGTACTCGAAACCAGACTAATCGGTAGTTGTGTTGTCCGAACGATGGTATCAATATGTGATGATGGGACTTCAATAGCATCGAAGATTGTTCTCTCGTCTGGTGTTAAACCCGGTGGCGGCACGCTTTGGATAGGTTGCTGTACTTCGGAGGAAGGTTGCGTCGCTAAGGGTTTGGGATCGCTTTTCTCAATGGGCGGTGCTTGTGAAGATTCAGTCTCTACACTCGGTATCGACGATGTTGGCACATCGGACTGGATCCGGTTTAATGCGTACGGGGGTAGTTCGTTAAGGAGATCGTCCACAGTATTGATGAGTTTCGCGCCGTTATTAATCAACTGGTGGGTGCCGGTTGAGAGTTCAGAAAAGATCTCTCCCGGTACAGCAAAGACTTCTCTACCCTGTTCGCCAGCGAGGCGTGCGGTAATGAGTGCACCACTTCGGTTTGACGCTTCCACGACCACAGTGCCAAGCGTCAGACCACTGATGATACGGTTCCGGCGTGGGAAATTCTTCGGCTTCGGCTTGACATCCATCGGGAATTCGGAAATTAACGCGCCGGATTCCGTAATCTTCTCAGCGAGGTCACTATTCGCCGCTGGATAGATAAAACTCAATCCGCTACCCATCACGGCGATTGTTCTACCACCCGCCTCAAGTGCCCCACGATGTGCTGAGGTATCAATTCCTTTCGCCAATCCACTAACGACGGCCAGTCCGTGCTGCGCGAGTTGATAGCTCAGTCGATAACTCACCTTCCGCCCGTAATCTTTCGCATCGCGAGAGCCAACGATCGAGATGCTGAGCGAATCCTCCGGTGTCAGTTCTCCTCTGATATACAGCACGAGGGGTGGCGTATCAATTTCCTTCAAGCATTGCGGATATGCGGCATCATAAAAGCGTCATGACTTGACAACCGTATTCGTGTATTAACTCCAATTCACGTTCTATTGGATACTGAATCGGTTTACGACTCAAGAGGTCACGCATCGCAGGCGAAAGTTGGTCTATTTTTCCGAGTTCGTCGGGTGTCGCCTGAAGTGCACTCTCAGCACTCCCAAAAACACCGCGTAAGAATTGAACGGTTTTTAGTCCAACGCCTTGAATCATGTTTAAATGAATTAGGCTGATTGTCTCGTTAGAAAGCATTTCTTCGCCTTACGCGATGTTCAGGTAGAATTGTTTTAGTGCGCATTGTAAGCCGGATACTACTGTGGCGTTGCCCCGGCTTCCATCGGATCTGGTGGAAGTGCGTAATAGAGTTCAATCTCTTGAATCTTCTTGTACTCCTGTATACTCGGTGCCCCAGTTTCGCCGCGTGTAGAGCGTTTCTGTCCGCCGACGCGCCGTGAATCCCAACGCCGCGGCACTTTCAGTCGAAAACTTGGTCGTCACAATCGGATCTCCCAAGGTGAACTTGTAAATAGGACGCATGTTGTCTCGGGCATGTTTTACCGTGACCCATTTTCCGTCATCATCCATGTACTGCGCGTAGAAGAATTCCATTTGCCCTGGCTCGGCTTTCACGACAACCTGTTGAATCGTCTGTGGCTGCCGCCATTTGAGCACTACTTCGGTGTAGTCATCAGACTCCTGTTGTGATGCCTCATCCTTCTCATCTTCGAGAATAGGTCCCGTCTCACCAACTGAGTACATATTATCGTCATGGCACTTCGTATCCTCACTCGTAGCATCCAGAGCGATATTTTTGCTCCAGTTATACGACGGATTCGACGCAAGAATACACCCGGATAGCCCAACTACCACACAGAGGGTCATCACTAATAATATAAAACGCATATATTGCCTCCTTGTCCGGGATAACGACATAGGTGCCGGTCCGGATAGCATGAAGTTGAGGCGGCGTTACAGAACAACCGCCTTGGTATCTATTTCTATGTTACTCTAATTCGAGTAAATCATCAAGTTCTTTTTCACGCTTATCGGTAGCGTCCTCTGCCTCTACCTGTTGAGCGGTCTTATAGCCGTAGAGTTCAATTTCTCGGATCTTAGCAGCTGCACGGCGACTGCTATTCCATCCACGGAACCCTCCAGACTGTGCGCGCTGCTGCCGATTGAGAAGTGCATCATCTTTAGTGCCCAATACACGCAACCGAATTTGGTTTGTCGGAAACGGAATCAATAGTGAAACCTGGAATGGACTGGTTTTGACGCTTTTCACATCTTTAATGAGCTGCCAGTCGGCTTCAACGGCAATACTACCTTTATCTGCGTAAATATCAAACGCCGACAGATTATCCGAGTGTATGATAATTCGACGGATAATCTTTTTTTCAGGTAATGTAATTATCACTTGCGATGCAGCATTTGAACCCCTGCCTCCTCCCGCACCTGAAGGGAACGTTGTTTCACCAAGGGTGTTCAACTTACCATCAATCATCTGTGGACTTGATGCCTGTACGCCTTCCATCAAGGCGTAATTTTCGCTCCACTCCTGCTCCGAAAAAAGCGCGCTACAGCTTGTCAGCATAGCAGCAAAACAGAGCAGTGAAAAGAGTGTTATGAATCGATAAATCATATTTTTACTCCTTTGGTAAGCACTCAGGCACAAGCCATGGTGCTATGGATATGCAGTTACGATATAATTTTCCAAGTGGTACCTTCACGGGTGTCCTTAATTTCAATGTTGAGTTCTTTAAGTCGGTCACGAATTTTATCAGATGTCTCCCAATCTTTTCGATTGCGGGCATCCTGCCTTATTTCCAAGAGGAGGTTAATCATCTGATCGCGTTGTTGGACGTTGTCGCCATCATCAATCTGAGTATCTGTATTATAGATTCCGAGGACTTGACAAGTTTCAGTCAACGCCTGATATGCTTGTGCGAGAACGGGAGCTGCCGCTTCATCAAGCGTGCTGAGTGATTTGTTAACCTCGCCGACAAGGGTAAAAATAGCCCCGAGTGCTTGTGCGGTATTGAAGTCGGTATCCATTGCCAGCGTAAACTGTGACTTCATCTCCTGTACAGCGTGCTGTAGAGGCACAGCTGTCGTTTCACTTGGCTCAATGTCCTCATAGTAGTTTTTCAACGCGTCCAAACAATTGTTCAAACGCCTGAGCGCGCCTTCTGATTTAGTCAAACTTTCTCGATTGTAGTCGAGTGGGTGACGGTAGTGTGCGGAAATAAGAAAATGACGAATGACTTCAGTAGGATAATTGTCCAGAGCATCTCGGAGTAAGATAAAGTTGTGTTCCGATTTCCCCATTCGCTTACCATCAATCTTTAGAAAAGCGACGTGCATCCAGTAACGTGCAAAGGGTGTCCCTGTCGCCAATTCACTCTGTGCTATCTCATTTTCATGGTGGGGGAACTGCAAATCTTCACCACCGGCATGGATGTCAATAGTTTCACCGAGATGTTTCATTGCCATAGCAGAGCATTCTATATGCCATCCCGGTCTGCCTCTGCCCCACGGGCTCTCCCAGGAGGGTTCCCCGGGTTTCACTGCTTTCCACATATCAAAATCACGGGGATCTTCTTTCCGCTCATCAATCTCAACCCGCGCGCCCGCGAGCAGATCCTCCGGCTTGCGATTGGAGAGCTTCCCATACTCAGCGAACTGATTTACGCGGTAATAGACGCTTCCATCAATGACATAAGCTGCCCCCTTGTCAAGCAGTATTTGAATCAAATCTATCATCTCAGGAATGTGTTCGGTTGCTTTCGGATGGACATCTGCGGGTTGAATACCGAGGCGTTGCGAATCCTCAAAGAAAGCTTCACCGTTCTGGTGTGCAAGCTGCTTCGCGCTGACCCCTAACTCAGCTGCCCGATTGATAATTTTGTCATCAATATCTGTCAAGTTTTGAACCAGTTTGACGTTGTACCCCTTATACACGAGATAGCGTCGAATAATATCTGTTACCAAAGCCGTGCGCGCGTTGCCCATGTGAATGTAGTCGTAAACAGTGGGACCGCAACTGTAGATCGACACCTGCTCAGGATTTAGTGGTACAAAGTCCTCCAATTGTCGTCTCAACGAGTTATAGATTTTCATACTCATTTTTTATAGTATGGACTCCTCTCAGGGGCATTTAGTTTTAAACAAATTCTCGGATTGTCTAAATTTTTGGATCCTCTTTTTCAAGTCCGGCGCGGTTCCAAACCGCGCCTACCGGGCCTGGGGGGTCCAAAATCGGGCTAAAAACCGAAAACTAAATAGCCCTGACTCCTCTTGACATTGCTTACAAAAACACCTACAATCGAGAAAGACAGACAATGGCATGGGCGACAATCGCTTTACCCTCTCCGACAATGCCCAATTCTTCCGCCGTGGTGGCTTTAACGTTTATCTGCGCTACGGCAATATCAAGCGTTCTGGCAACCGTCCCTCGGATCTCTGAAATGTAAGGTGCCAATTTCGGGCGTTGTGCGATAACCGTGGTGTCTATATTTTCGATCTGGTAGCCACACTCCCGTACTTTCAAAGCGATGTCGCGTAGGAAAATAAGGCTGTCCATTCCTTCATAACGGGCATCCGTATCTGGAAAATGTGTGCCGATATCACCGAGAGCGGCGCCCCTAAAATCGCGTCCACGATAGCGTGTGTGAGGACATCCGCATCTGAATGCCCCAACAACCCTAAATGGTAGGGGATCTCAACCCCGCCCAAAACCAATTTACGATTTTCGACTAACTGATGAACGTCGTAACCAATACCTACTCGCATTTTTCTTGTACACTCTCATCACCACAATCTGCGACGCGAAACCACAAAACAGGACGAAGCCAAACAGCAGCCCCTACCAGAGTGTAGGATCTGAGAGTAAGACTTCAGCAACTCGTAAATCCACTGGCGTAGTTATCTTCAAATTCGCGTAACTGCCCTTCACTAACTTAACAGGGAAACCGAGTTGCTCAACGAGAGCGGCATCATCAGTTCCTGTGAGTTGGCGCGCTCGGGCTGTCTGATGTGCCTCTTCTAATAGGGATTTCCGAAAGACCTGGGGTGTTTGCACTGCCCAGAGTCTTTCTCGCTCTGGTGTCTCAGTAATGAAATAGTTCTCGTCGGCTACTTTGATCGTATCTTTGACTGGCACCGCAGCGGCAGCAGCCCCCCATTCGTCTGCAGCGGTGAGACAAGCAAAAATCGTTTCGTCTGTTACAAAGGGTCGGACACCATCATGAACAATAACAAAATCAACATCTGCCGATAGTGCACGTAAACCGTTGTAGACAGACCTCTGCCGAGTCTCTCCCCCTGCGACGAGTTTCTGTACCTTTGTAAAGGGATGTGGTTCCAACACGGTGGAGCGACATTCGCTGAAATCATCTTCGTCAACGATGACGAAAATAGCGTCTACAGCAGTATTCTGCTCAAACCGCTGTATAGTATGCGCTAAAATCGGCTTCTTTGCCAATTTTAGGTACGGTTTTTTAAGCGAATGTGCCATCCGGCTGCCCTTACCAGCTGCGGGGATAAGGGTACACACCTTGCTGTTCATCAACGTCCATTTCATCTTCTTTTATACGTGTAAAAATCATCTGCCCTGCACTCGTCCGTAGCATCTGCGTAACCTCAACGTTAAGCGTTTTCCCGATGTACGGTTTCCCCTCCTCAACGATGACCATAGTTCCATCATCAAGGTAACCGACTCCTTGATTCGGTTCCTTACCTTCTTTAAGAAGGAGTACTTGAATCACTTCACCAGCAATCACGACAGGACGCACAGCATTTGATAGCTCGTTGATATTAAGCACCTTTACACTTTGTAATTCCGCGACCTTGTTGAGATTTAGATCGTTAGTTATGATTGTGGCATCTCGCTTTTGCGCGAGATGTACTAACTTCGCATCCACTTCTGGTAGATGTGCACCTCCTCCTCAGTGATCTCAACAATAATCGCTGGATTATTCTGAAGTGCTCGAAGGATATCAAAACCGCGCCGCCCTTTATTTCGGCGAAGGGGTTCTGTAGAATCTGCAATATGTTGCAATTCATTAAGAACGAACCGCGGAATAACAAGCGTCCCTTCAATAAATCTTGTCTGGCAGATTTCAAGAATCCTGCCATCAATAATAACACTTGTGTCTTAAAATATATAAATTATATTTGTTTAACACTATTGTACCCGTCCCTGTCTCGCGATCGCCAGTCCGGTGGAGCTAGTCTGAACCCCAATATTGGGATCATGACTATCAACCGATGTAATAAGCAAAGGGGAAAAAGTACAAATTGTTTCGTGACAGTGTGGCCTTTTTTGATGTTTGATGGTTTAAGAGCCAGTAGCCACTCATAAGACCGACGTAGCCTATGCCGAGGGCAATCACTATTTTGAGTTTGTCATCAAATTCTGAAAGAAGGTGTAGTACACCGAGGGACACTAATATGCCGATAGAGAGCCCTATCATACTCGCGACAATGCTACGCGTGTTAGACACGTGTAGGCAGAGCTCTGCCCCAACAAGGATGAGTGCCGCAATAAATCCGATAAGTACGACTAATGGTTCGCCGTAAATAATGTAACAACTCGCTGCACTTGCGACTATAAAAAAGAGACGAATACCCCAAACTTGCATTTTTTGTCCTTTACTTTCTTTATACAAGTACCCTTATCACTTGCAGTCGCTATCCACGCTTACAAGATCCCCTCAGTTCTACGCATCTGCTCTTAGATTTGCAGATGCACCTTTGCACATCAATTCAACAATGTTTACGTTTAACCTTAATAATGAAGACTAACAAATCACGAATCGTATCAACGTGAGTTCGACTTAAATGTATAGGAGCTGAGGGTGGGTAACTCGGAAACTGTTAAAACCGAATACGTTAAGTTATTTAAACTAAGCAAGTTTCATGCCAATACCTTAGTAACAACCGATATTCGCGTCAAAATTACCGCTGAAATCCGCAGGATACCTTTACCGCAACGCGTCCAAAACACATGTGTACACGGGTTTATCAAGATAAACAGAAGCGTCTGTTCTTTTGAAAAAAACTACCACCGCTGTAGAATTGGTGTCTGTTTGCAAACCTATTCTATTGAGGTTCGCAAAAATTGTAGGATATTATGCAAAAATTGCATGTAACGTAAAAAAATTGATACCTTGGCGACTTGGATATAGGTACTCCTTGCAACATTTACTATTAATATATAATATAACGGACATTTTGTCAAAAGGAGTCTTCAACAGCCTTGGGTGGTAATCCTCCCAAGTGCGGTAGAAAACCCTATAAATGCTTGGACCCACTTATAGTATAAGCTATCTCATGCATAAATTGTAGGAACGCGTCCGTGAAACCTCGCTCAACAAAATCGTATCTATGAGATAGACACTGAAATATATAACTATCGAAACAGCGTTGATGGTGAAATAGGAAACCTCACCTGCAGTGAAGTAGAAGTTTAAGTCCTAATATATCTACATACTTTCAATTTTTGCGATACGTTAGCGAAAAACGCTGATTCAATTGCTAAAACCGTATAAGGACAATATTACTTAGATGCAATTTACTCAATAATAGTATCCTCATAGGGTAATAATAGCATAATCCAAAAAATAAACCAAGATGAAAGTAACAATTTTTACAGATAGCAATTTGGGTTATAACAAAGAAAGTAAAATGCGAACGCCATAGTGTATGAACAATTGTTATGCGTCGCGCGGTATTCTTATATTAAAACGAATTGAGACTATCCTTATATCAAATTGATGTTATTACAACAAAGTCGCTAAGCTGTCATATACATCATTAACACCGACAAGTTCAATGTCCTCGTCAATATCTAATCCTTTACGGTTGTATTCGGGAAAAATCGCTCGCTTGAAACCCAATTTTGCGGCTTCTCGGATCCGCCTATCAACATGTGTAACAGGTCGAATTTCGCCTCCGAGCCCGACTTCCCCGATCATCACAGTTTGCCGATCTATAGGCATATCCCGATGACTTGAGGATATAGCCATCAGTACACCGAGGTCTATACCGGGTTCATCAATACGTAATCCACCAGTAATAGTTAACGAAAACATCGGAATCCCCAACGTCGACCCCTACCCGTTTATTGAGTACTGCGATGAGCAGTGCAATTCGGTGTCGGTCGACGCCAGCCACCGTATTACGAGGATTTCCGTAATTGGTAGGTACAACGAGTGCCTGTACCTCCATGAGTAACGGACGTGTCCCTTCCATACTTGAGACTACGACAGATCCTGAAACCTGTTCTTCCCTGTCGCTCAAAAAAATCTCTGAAGGGTTCATCACATCCGCAAGCCCCGTGCTCCGCATTTCAAATATTCCGATTTCGTTTGTTGAACCGAATCGGTTTTTTATCGCTCGGAGGACCCGGTAGATGTGATGCCCTTCACCTTCAAAATAGAGTACCGTATCGACCATGTGTTCCAAGACGCGGGGTCCAGCGATTGCCCCCTCCTTTGTCACATGTCCGACAAGAAATATCGGAATATTGCGGTTCTTTGCGCAAATCAGGAGATGTCCAGTACACTCACGAATCTGGGTAACACTCCCGGGTGCAGATTGAATACTCGTCAAATAGACGGCTTGGATAGAATCGATGACGACAACCTTCGGTTTCCGGGCTTCAATATGTTTTTCAATATGTTCCAAGTTGTTTTCACACAGTACATAAAGCGTATCAGATTTGACACCGAGTCGAGTTGCCCTGAGTTTTGTCTGGCTTACAGATTCCTCGCCGGAGACATAAAGCACGTCCCCATAATTCCGGCTCAACGCATCACTCGCCTGGAGCAACAGGGTAGATTTACCTATCCCTGGATCTCCACCGATAAGGACTACTGCCCCCGGAACGATGCCGCCACCAAGTACCCTATCAAATTCTGACATTCCTGTCAAGTGGCGTTCCACCTCGCTTGCCGTAACCTGCGAGATCGGTTCAGGTTCACGAGAAGCCTGTCCGATACCACGATGCCTTGATGGTGTAATGAGATCTTCAACTTCTTCAGCGAAGCTTTGCCAACTTTTACAACTCGGACACCGTCCGAGCGTCTTTGGCGTTGTATATCCACACTCTTGACAGACGAATTTACGTTTTTCTCGTGCCATCTTTAACGCTACCTATTATTTTCATGCTAACAAGGTTTGAAGAGCGTTGCTCCTGCGCTGTCGATATTACCACTCTCTATTAAAAAAACGGAATCCGGTTGTCCAACGCCGTTTACCTGTCAAATTCTCGGCACCAAGGAGCAGTTGTCCGTATCGGAAAAACCGCAGTGCGACTTCTGTGTTCAATTCCGGGTCTCCACTTGTCAACCCTATCCCCTCAACGCTGATCCCTATGCGTCGAGACCACAACCACAAATCCGCCCCCGCGCCGACCCTGGAACGCATGAATCCCGCCCGTGCCCTGAGATAGTCAGTAACATCGTGCGCATATTGAACTTCAAACCGAAACTGTTTCGTCGCGAACACCGACACCAATCCTATAATGTGCCTTTGATTGTGGTGAGAGAGAAAACGCCAGTTCGTTGTAAAGTCGCTCTTCAAGACTTAAATAGCGGAGTTCATAATCCCATCCGAACTGTAGTGGCGATTCAAAACGCCCGATCTGCTTCCCAGTTAGTTGTGAAGTTCCATCCAACCGCGTTCGCCGTTTTATCAAAATTTTGCAAAGTGTTGCCGGAACTCTTCAAGGGGTTCGGGTGTATTGAGTAATCGTGCCACAGTGCCTTCCCCCTCGTTGAGTGTAGCGTTGAGTGTAGCAAGGAACGACTGACATTCCCCTCTAAGGCATTGATTGCGTCGGTTGTCGTCTGTAAATTCTCTAAGATTGGTGCGATATTGGCTTCCTCCCCGGTTTTAATGGCAGAGCTACTTGTGAAACAAGCGTGGAACCTGCATCCGCTAACGTGTTGAATCTGATCGAAAATCTTGTGCAATTTGCCGGAATTCTGATGTGATTGCGCGGTACGGTCGGTAAAAATAGTATTCAGTTTCGGTGAATTTTGGTTCAGACGAGCCTTAAGAGTTCACGCGTAATATCACTCACTTGGCTACTCACCATGAGAGAATCGCCTCTAACTGTGTGATAAGATATTTACCTTTACAAGGGTGTCCCCAAAGCGTTTATCGTTTTCTAAAAGCGAGTTGTGTTAAAGTCTTGACGTTTCTTCAGAGTCAACACTCAATTTCTCATAGTTTTTGCCAGTGATCGCGACCACTGCTCGAATTTCTTTGATCGCGAGTTGAATTGATTCTTGGTTTGCCTGAAGGACTTCATTGGCAGCAGTCGTGAGTTCAATAGCTTGTGTCATACCTGCACTTGTCTGTTCAAGCAGTTCGAGTGCATTAACAGGATCTTTTCCGATAATCGGCAGATTCACGGGTTTTAGCGGCGGATTCCCGATGGACCCATTGTCAAGTGCGATGTAAACCTCTCCGACGAACCCATTCATAGAAATCCTTGCACCACAGTCTTCCCGTAACCACTTAAACCCATTTCTGACTTTCGCCTTAATATGGACATCATTCGTATCAGGTCGGAGTTCAATGGCAGTTACTTTGCCGATTGATACACCCGATAGGTAAACACCTGCTCCGACATAGAGACCATTGACAGATTTAAATTGGAAGGTCAGTTCATCGCCTGCAGCTGCCCATGGCCAATTCTCAGCATTTGTAAGAAGGATAGTTAGGAAAACGATTGCAATCAGGATCATTACACCGACTTTTACAGACGCGGTCCAGAAATTCATCAAAATCTTCGGTGTGGAAACCCCTGTCTTTAGGCAGGGGAGGAAACACCGCTCCTATAGTAAAAGTTGAGACGTGTTAGCACTCTGAAATCAGACCGCTTTGCCCCTGTTGTTAATCGTTTGTTTTCCATGCTGTATATTGAAAACAAACCCTTTGCGTTAACGCCAGCAAGTCGGGTTAATCCGTACTTGACATGCTTAATGAGTGTGTTTTTGACTAGGTTTCCTTGGCCTAATACAGTGCCCCCCACCCGTGTGCGTTTACCCCCTTTTGCTTCCTGCTGCCTATGCAACTCTCTACGCTTTATGGGTATCGGTGAGATACACATTAAGTCCGTGTTATCAGGGACACCCGAACCACCAACAGTGTGATACGCCAGACACCAACTATCTACACAATGGGCATCAAAGGTTTCTGCTAACTTCTTCGAGGATTTCTTGAGACCTAACCTATCTCGTATTTCTTTCGTCTTCCACCCTTGTAAAGTTAACAGTTCCCACCGTTTACGGATTTCGGTATAGAACCACTGCTTACCGACTTCAAGCGGACTAAAAGAGGTGTTCCACTTCTTAGCACGTTCTATCGTCCGTGCCTTAATATCCTCAACGCAAACGTGTGTGACCGGATACAGTTTGAAGAACCAATCCAATATCCGAAGTTTCCAGTCCCATCGTGCACGTGTGCCTGCAGGTATACGTGCTCTGTTCGCGAGACGGTTCGTTCTATTCTTTCGGTTCGGACACTTTCGTGAACGCCTACTTCTACGCAACTCACGACGCTTCGCCACTTTCTTACCGACACCCCCGTGAGCGTCTGCCTGTACATTTAAATAGGTGTGTGCTTCGGATTTGACGGTAAAGCCTTCCTTCTTACTACCGGGATCTACACCTACGACTATATCTTGGTGCATTCGTCTTCGGTCACATAGTTAAGTCTGATACAAAAGATACCATTAGACCAATATGGTGTGGCTAAACCTTTCTTAATCAGCACGCCTGCTTTGTTGGCACGCGTAGGCATCAACTTTTTACCTGTTTGACTCGTTACCGGAACAAACATCGTTTGTAATCTCCCTTACGGGTTATGTATTGCCCCTTACAGATCGCAATATCTTAGAGTGAATCGGACGAGGGGAGTATCCGAAACATTGTTTGGGCTACCACACCGAGATACTGCGATATTTTACTGTAGAAAACCTTTTAACTTGTGGAGTGAACGTTTGGCGGACGTTTCGCACAAGCCCCGTCCTTTAGGGCGGGGTAGTTGACGCTATCTCCCCAGGTACTCTTTTAAAATAGGATTTTTCATGTTGAGGATTTGGTCTGGTGCCCCAAATAAGACAAACTGTTGTAAAATGGGATCGTCAATGTTGATAATCTCGTCAGGGCTCCCATAAGCAATCTGCCTGCCATCATGGATCATCGCCATTCGCGTTGCGACACTAAAAGCACTGTGCATATCGTGTGTTACCACAACGGATGTGACTTGCAGCCGTTCGTGTAAATCTCGGATGAGTTGATTAATTTCGGTACAGGTAACCGGGTCAAGTCCGGTTGTCGGGTTCATCGTACAAAATGACTTCTGGATTAAAAGCGAGTGCGCGGGCGAGTCCGACCCGTTTTCGCATGCCGCCGCTCAATTCGGCGGGTCGTAAGTCTTGAACGCCTTCCAAATCAACAAGTTCAAGTTTCTCATCAACGATCTTACGCATTTCCTGTTTGCTGTAATTTGTATGCTGATCAAGCATAAAAGCGACATTTTCGGCAACAGTCATCGAATCAAACAGGGCGGCAGACTGGAATAACATCCCGATTTTTTGGCGGAGGACATTCATTTTTTTGGCTTTCAGTTTTGAGATTTCTGTGCCATCAAACCAAATTTCACCCGAATCAGCAGGAATCAGTCCGGTGATAATTTTGAGTAGGATGCTCTTACCAGACCCACTTCGCCCCATAATGACGAGGGTTTCGCCGCGTGGAATCTCAAGGTTTAAGCCGTTTAAAACGTTCTTCTCGCCAAAATTTTTGGTAATATTTCTAACTGAAATCATACTTTCTGAGTACAAGGCGCAGCAGCCGGAGAAGTCCATGCGGTAGGACCATCTCCTGAGAGCCTATAAAGCCGCCTTGAAACTGCCTCAATTATACCAATCCTAAAATGTTAAAGAGGATATGGTTCAAGACAAAGTCTAAAATAAGAATAGTAATGAGCGAAATAACGGCAGAGCCAGTCGTAGCAGTGCCGACACCTTCAGCACCACCGGCAGTCGGGATACTAAACCCTTTGTAGCAGCCGACCGCTGCGATCGCCATGCCGAAAGAGGTCGCCTTAATTAAACTAATAAGCACACTACCGACAAACAGATTCTTTTGGGCTTCCAAGAGAAAAAAGTACCCGTTGACATCAAACAAGGTAACAACCGCAGTAAAACCGCCACCAATACCGGCAAACGTTGAGAAGATCGTCAAGGTCGGTAACATAATAGTGCATGCAAGAAAACGAGGGACAACCAAATATTTGACAGGATTTGTCCCCATCACCTCAAGCGCGTCAATCTGTTCTGTCACCTTCATCGTTGAAAGTTCAGCGGTAATTGAAGCGCCAATACGTCCAGCGAGCACGAATGCAGTAATCATCGGTCCGAGTTCTTTGACAATCGAGACACAGACAAATCTTGCGACGATCCTTCCACCGCAAAGGGTTTGAGTTGAATATAGCCCTGAACGCCTAAGACCATCCCCGTGAAAAACCCTGAGACAATGACAACAGCCAAAGAATTGAAACCGATCAGCAATAATTGCTTAATTAGCAAATCAAACTGAAAGGGAGGACGGAAAATTTGAACAAGCGTTTGAAAAAAGAGCGTAAAAGCCTGCCCTATCTCAGAGAGCACATTGTGCAAGCGTATTTTGACACTTCTTAATATTGGCTGGGCCCGAAAACCACCGGAGGATTCGCGCGTAGCGGATTGCTGATTCATGTTTTTTGCTTAACTTGGGTTTTCAAATCGCATCTGCTTCTTAGTAAAATAAAGAACGACTGTTCCGGTCGGTCCGTTACGCTGTTTTTTAATCATCAGGTTTGCTTCAACACGCTCACCTGCATCTTCCTCTTCGTAATAATCTTCTCGGTATAAAAAAGCGACGATATCTGCATCTTGTTCAATTGCGCCGGATTCGCGTAAATCTGAAAGTTGCGGTTGTTTGTCCGGTCGGCGCTCCACTTCACGGCTCAACTGTGAACAAGCAACGATTGGTACATTGAGTTCCCATGCGAGGACTTTCAATGACCTAGATATTTCGGAGATCTCCTGTTCACGCTGATTGTATCTGCCTGTCCCTCTGAGCAGTTGCAAATAATCGACGATAATAAGTGCAAGGTCACCGTGTTCACCTTTAAGCCTTCGTCCTTCGGCACGTAGACTTTGAACGGTAAGTCCTCGGTTGTCATTAATGAGGATAGGGGCTTCAGACAATCGGCTCGCGGCTTCGGTCAAAGGTCGCCAATAATCTTCGCTAAAATTACCGGTGCGGAGTCGCCCAAAATCAATACGAGATTCAGCAGATAGCATCCGCATGACGATATCCTGCGCTGGCATCTCTAAACTAAAAATCGCAACCGGCCGTTCTTGGTCGATTGCGATATTCTGTGCCATATTCAGCACTAAGGTCGTCTTTCCCATACTCGGACGCGCAGCGATAATGACAAAGTTGCCAGGCTGCAGCCCGGATGTCATGTGATCGAAATCCATAAATCCAGTGGGGATACCTAAGAACCTCTCTTGCTTGTGAAATAATTTTTCAATTGCATCGATACTCGTTGTGACGAGTGGGTTAATAGGCTGAAATCCGCGCTGGGCATCGTTTTGTCCAAGTTCAAAAACTGATTCTTGGGATTGATTGAGCACTTCAGCAAGTTCTACGCTCTCGTCTTGCGCAAGTTCGCGAATTGCGGCACCTGCTTGGATTAACTGGCGGCGCGTCGCCTTTTCATGCAGAATATCGGCATAAAACTCTGTACTCTCCGTTTCCACAATGGGTGCTTGGAGTTCATATAGATAGCCTGCACCGCCCGTTCGATTGATCTGATTCGTACGTTTCAACTCATCGGCAACGAGAAGTGGATCAGCATTGCTGACGCGATCATATACGGCAAGGATAGCAGAATAGATCAGCTGATGGTCGGTGGTAAAAAACGCATCAGAGGTATGCCCGAGTTGTGCAATAACCCGTGGGATAACCGACTTCTCGGTCATCATCGCGCCGAGTACCGCTTGTTCAGCTTCCTTGTCAGAGAGGGAATCAACCGCTTGTGCCTGCATAATTACTCATCACGTTCAACAACGACGCGGAGTTCAATAACGACATCTGTATGCAATTTGACTGGCACCATGAACACACCGAGTTCACGGATCGGATCTGCAAGTTCAAGGAATCGGCGTTCTAACTCAAAGCCTTGAGCCCGTAAAGCCTCTGCGACATCCATAGAGGTAACAGAACCGAAGAGCCGATCGTTCTCGCCAGCTCGCCTTTTGAGAGTGCACGTAACGCCAGTAATCTGTGATGCGATTTCCTGTGCCAGTTCTTTATCCTTCGATTCTTGGTGATCGATAACTCGTTTTTGGTGTTCAAGATAGCGACGGTTCCGCTCTGTTGCGTGCACAGCCAACTGCATCGGCAGGAGGTAGTTCCGCGCGTATCCATCCGCGACCTTCAACACATCGCCCGGTATACCGAGCCCTTCAACACTTTTCTTTAGAATCACTTCCATAATTAAAAACCTAAACTACCTTTTGTAGGAAAATCAATTATAGTAAAACCCACAATTAACTATACATTGGCGAGGTTAGGAATGCAGATCGCATTTAGGCGCGTACGCCGCAAAACCTCACCAGCGAGGGAGTGTATGCGGGATTGTTATTCATTGAAATGTCAACATATTTTCGGGCTTTACTATATATGTGTCTGAACCCTACTTCTATCGTGTAAATGGCAACAGTGCCATATGACGTGCGCGCTTCACTGCACGGGTCACCATTCGCTGTTGCTTCGCTGACAAGCCTGTAACCCGGCGACTTACAATTTTACCACGTTCGTTAATAAATTTTCGCAGCGTATCAATATCTTTGTAGTCAAAAGATTCAATTTTGTGATAGCGCTGTCTGCGACGGAATGCCATACCAATTCTATTCCTTTTTCTAAAGTATCGCGCATCAAAACGTTTCTGAGGCGCCATATCTATAAGGGTGCTATAACACACCTATTAATTAAAAATAAGAGTGTGAGAGAACCACCGTATGATGACGGTTCTCCCACTGCTGTGCTTACTTAAAACGGGATATCATCTTCTGTTGCGGAAGGTGCACTACTTGCTTCGGGAGCCGGTGCATCTTGATAAGATGCGGATTGTGTTGGTGCAGCTGCGGGTTGGGCATCGGCATAACCACCACCCATTTCATCTTCATCGCGCTTCCCGCCAACAAACTGAAACCGTATAAGTCTGACCTTGAGTCGGTTCCGCTTAGTGCCATCTTCGGCTTCCCACGCATCATATTTGAGGGCACCCTCAACCAAAATCGGCTTGCCCTTAGTGAAATATTCACCCACAATCTCAGCTTGCTTGCCCCATGCTTCTACATCAACAAAACAGGCGGATTCTTTTTTTTCACCCGTCTGCTGATCGGTGTAGCTTTCATTCATAGCCAACCCAAAATTCGCGACAGCTGTTCCACTCGGAAGGAATTTTACTTCAGGGTCACGGGTTAAGTTCCCCATTAGGATGACCTTGTTGAAGCTTGCCATAGTTTCTCCTCTCTATACACTCTTGAGGCTTTCGGTACTTTTTAAAATCCAAAAACCCGCTGTTTAAAATTCAGGTGATACTTATTTCAGGCAGACTCTGCTGTATCTTCAGCATTATCTGTTGCCTCTTCTGCTTCTGCTTCCGCTTCTGTATCACCATCTGTTGCCTCTTCTACTTCTGCTTCCGCTTCCGCATCATCATCAGACGTTGATTCCTCTACTTCAGGTGTCGGTTGTTCCACTTCGGATGTTGACTGATCCGCCTCGGCGGCAAGTTCGGCTTTCAATTTATCTATATCGTCTTCGTATTGTACAATCATGTAGCGCAGAATCGCTTCAATGACGTGTAAGGACTGGTTTAATTCCGCGACAAAACTCGGTGCACTCTCAAAAATGTAGAGAACGTAATAGCCTTCGCTTCGTTTCCGGATCGGATATGAGAGTCGTTTTTTTCCCCAAGGATCAAGTTTCAGGAGAGTCCCGCTATTTTCAATGATGCCCTTTACCTGATCAGTAAGAGCCTCTGCCTCGTTTTCATCATGGTCAGGCGTAATGATAAGCAGGAGTTCATAAGGTTTCAAATTTTCATGCCTCTCTTCGGACTGATGGCTCCACTGCTTTTACAATAAAAGCAGGGAACAGAGATTAATTGCGTAAACCCCACCTAATTTACACGTACCATAAAGTAAGTACTATGACCATCAGATGGAATTCTATTAGTTAAAATTAGTTTATGTAATTATACCACATATTGATTCGTATATCAACCAAAAATCACATTTTTTTATGGTTTTCAGAGGAATAGTTTTCAGCTATCAGTTTTCAGTTATTAGTAGGTACAGGTTCATGAAGATTAAGGATTTATAGTAAAGTCTATAATTATCTTTGTACGTGAGTTGGCGAAGTTTCATCCCTCACCAGTGAAGAGACTGCGTAAGCCTTGATTAGGTTGGGAGCGTCGCGTGTGCTGTTACATGCAACGGTAAGAAGAACGGACGTTTCGATGTGATAACCTCTTGCCGAATGCGTGAGGCTAATGTATCCACATCAACCTGTTCTGCAGTGGCAAGTCCATACTTTTCGAGGAGTGGCAGGAGGCTCCGAAATATAGTCGCCATGTATCGGTAACCTGCCCAGTTTTTTTCGGCACCGATCGGAGACTCAAGGTGCATCGTGGGGGATGGTAAACCTGCGTCCACAAAAGCCTGATAAAGTCCAATCCCCATGTTCAGGTGCGCCCCAGAATGCTCAAACACATCCAAAATCCATGTGATGAGCTGGTTCATAAGAGGTGTATCTGGATGTAAGAAAGCAGGATAGAGGGTATACTCTGGTTCCTGAAAAGCGATAATACCGCCAGGCTTTAAATGGGTTACGAGTTTAGCGAACGCCGTCCGCTGTTCAACCATATACATCAACACGAACCGTCCGACGATTGCGTCAAATTTGTCTGAAAACTCGAGGATTCGCGCGTCGCCTGCAATGAATTCAATGTTCTGCATACCTGCGTCGGCTGCGCGTTGGCGTGCAGTGTCAAGAATATCTACGTTGATATCCACACCAACGATCTGACCTGTCGGTCCGACGAGTTCGGCAAGTGTGAGTGCGACATCACCGGCACCGCTACCTATCTCAAGGACTTGCATCCCCTCTGCGATACCGGCTCGTTTGCAGAGACGTTGCGTTGATTCTCCATAGATTCTTGATTGCTCAATGAGACGGGTTGTTTCGTGGGAGGTGCGCCCTAAAGTATAGGTAGCATCGCTATTTGACGCGTGCAAACTCTCTTGATGATTTTTCGCCATACGTGAAAACCATTTATGATGTTAGGGATGCATACGCTGTGATATGCGATGGTAACATAATTGGTCGTTTTGCTGCGGCGACTTCTGCCTGTATCCGCGCTGCCAGCGTGTCCACATCCACCTCATCAGCAGTGGCAATGCCGTAAGCCTCCATCAGTGGAACAAGGCTCCTAAAACTGTTGGCAAGATATTCGTAGCCTGGCCAGTTTTCAGGACCGCCCAGCGGTGCCTCAAAATGCAAGGTAGGTTCAGGCAAACCGGCATCGACAAAGGCTTTGTAAAGATCCATCCCCATCTCAAGATGCGCGCCCGAACGCTCAAACACTGTGCGCCCCCATCCAATCAACTCGTTTGCCAGCGGCGTATCTGGATGCGTAACTGCAGTATAAGGCGTAAAATCGACTTCCTGAAAGGCGACAATCCCACCGGAATGTAGGTGCGTCGCTAAATGTCTGAGTGCATCCGCCGGATCTGCTATATACATCAGCACAAGTCGTCCAACAACAGCATCAAAATCGCTTGGAAGGTCAAGGGTCCGGGTATCACCTGCGATGAATTCAACGTTTGTAAAACCTGCCGCATCCGCTCGCGCTTGTGCTGTTTTGAGAATATCAGGATTGACATCTACACCAACAACATTCCCTTCGGCACCCACAAATTCAGCGAGCGTAAGAGCCACATCACCGCACCACTGCCGACATCCAAAACTTTCATGCCTTTTGCGATACCGCTTCTGAGAAAAAAACGGCGTGTTACATCGTCATAGAGCTGCGACTGCTCGATTAAGCGTTGTGTTTCTTCCTCGCTACGACCCATTGTATATTCTGCATCTCTGCTCTGATTGCTCATGTTAATATACCTCACTTTCAAGAAACCTGCGAGGCACAGGGACCTTGCATTATACAATTGCTAAGTATTACGGGATAATCAATTGATGAAATTGTATCCTTCCATCTCTGACGGTATTAATGACTAAACTCTTGATTGCATACCGATTTTCATCAAAATGGGATAATATCGTTGCGCCACTGTAGTCCTGAGTCAATTCAATTTGATCTCGAATTGCTGCGGGTGTCGTATCAACTGCCCGGCGCATTGCCTCAATGACAATGGTAGCAGAATCGTATCCGAGTGCTGCGGGGCCATCGGGTGCGATACATCGATTAATTCCTCTGCATGTTGGGCACTGAGCACTGGGTCTCTTTTATCACTCTTCCCGCCAAGACCCCATGCTTTAGCTTGTGGGATGTAGGGGGAAACCTTGCGTTTGAAAGCCAAAAAAGATTTGACTTTTGCCTCAAAATGTAGTATAATGATAGTATCACTCTGGACAACACTCTCACCCTGCACAGTCTTTGTGCAGGCGTTGTCCGCTCCTGTGAGAGGGAGTCAAAAGTGTTGAGTGTGATACCCCTCTAAAAGTATTTGGGCAGTTTCCGCGTAAGTTTCGGAGCAGAAGTGAAACACTGCACGTTGTATTGCTGCCCACTCTTTTTTCAACTTTCGGTCTATTAGACCGAGGCAGGCGGGGATAGCCAAGATTTGGTTTCCTTGATATGCCCGAAGCGATTTAATTCACGCAACGGGGAATCGCCTGCTGGTGGAGACAACGTAAGACGGTTGACCTTCGGGAAAACCGCTATTGTCTATGAAGCCGAGGCCCCATGCTTTAGCTTGTGGGTGCTATCACCATCTCTAACGAGAAGCTCTATCGGTAGCCCGTTAACTCCGTCTGCTTCATTTGCGAGGGCGACCGCTAACTCAGCACCATTCCGAGTGCGTTCCAGGGTCAGATGGACTATAAATGAAACCAATTTTGATTGTAGAAACGCCTGAATCACTGGAAGGAATGACTTGTTGAACCTGATCACAACTTAAAAGAAAACGCTCATTAAGAAGAATGAAGCGAGAATTCCGAAAATCGCTATATATCTGAGCGTTGTTCTGTCCTGTCGAAATAGCATAAAGATTCCTTTCACGTTAGGGGCAGTTGGAAACCGCTCCATAAGCATCAATTTAGTGATTTTTGACAGGGTTTTAGCAACTGTGGATATAGACATGCCGCCCTTACAGGGAGACCTGCGGCTTTGCTCGAAAATGCTGCTATAAACATGCCGTCCCTACGGGACTAAACAGGCATTTTGAAGTATACAAGGTTTGGGTCTAAGACTCGGCGCGGTTAGAAACCGCACCTACCAGACCTGGGGACCCAGACTGTCGTTTTTTCTTAAATTGACACTTATGGGGGCAGTTGGAAACCGCTCCCGAATACGTGCTAAGAATTAAAAACTGTAACCAACTTTGGTATACCAGAACGCGCCGCCAAACCCATAAGGACTATACTCACCGAAGGGTCCTACCAACGATTGCTCCGTAAGTTCTCAACATCCGATCCGCCCAGGTTGACCGTATCTGGTTCAACATTGAGGACATTATGCACCCCAATTGTGATGCCTAAGTTCTCAATGACGCGTAACTAACTTCAAGGTCCACCAAAAACTCGCTGTCATAGGTTTGAGCACCAACAGCGTTCTCGTACCAAGGACCGTAATAATTGACTCTGCCCAATACGCCCAAACTGTCACCAATGGCTTGTGTTAGTGTCACATTGCCACGATGGCGAGGAATCCCTTCCTCTAATAGCCGGACACGCGTGTCATCAAGGATATCAGTATTACGTTTGGTTATTTCGGTCCCCGTGTAGTTGTAAGCGAGACTTAGTACCCCGTCCAGTATTGGTGCTGTGAGAATCACATCAATACCCCGAGTAATTGTTTCAAATTCATTGGTAAAGAATCGGAATTCCTGCAAATTCCCTGCGCTCGTAATGCCTTCAGCACGAGTGCTGAGCTGGTGCCTCTGTATATCGTACCTCGCTGGAAGTCCTTTGTCCGGGAGCCCACCGATTCTCACCTTAATGTTGAAATAGTCCAGTGATACTCGCAATGGCATGGCTGACGACTGTTCCAACCGTGAAATTCTTTGACTTTTCGGGGTTCGAGTGGCTTACCACCCACTAAACTTGCGGCAGCGTGTGTAGAAGGAATCGTCCCTTTATTGACCAATGTATTGTTTTCACCGAACTCCGTTGTGACGTTAAAGGCATTTTGCTGACCCGGTGTCGGTGCTCTGAAACCGGTGCTGTAACTGCCGCGCACTCTTAGGTCAACACCAAGATCAACCGAAAGCAATTCTTTGAGCGTGTCGGCAATGCCATAGTTCGTTGCGATTTTGTAATTGACAGTGCTCCCAAAATCGTCGAAGTACTCACCGCGGACGGCAGCATTAACCGTCCAAAAGTCAAGAGGTCTCAACTCACTTTCCAAATAACCAGCGAAGTTAGACCGGGTCCAACTCCCTTCGGCAATATCACTGAAGCCGGGGAATCCGTTGGATCCTGAACTAAATCCTTGGCTTGCCAACGGACCGATTTTCCAAGACTCAATCTGTCCCTGCACAATCTCAAAGGTTTCCGTGCGATATTCCAAACCTGAGGCGAGGAACACTATATCGTGTAGCGGATAGGTTAAGTCAAGATTAATGTTCGTATCCGCTTGGATATAATCGCCCGGGTCAAATTCAGTCGGTGTGTCCGGTCCAAGCGAGGCATTAACCGTATTTCTGATAAAGAAATCGGAGGCGTGCCGTCCATAAGAAGCACTCAAATCCCATCCTAAGTCCGCAGCGATCGTTCCTTTCAAGCCAACGAGGAGCGAAGCATCTTGGGTATCCGCACCGAAACGGGGTGTAAACCCACCGGGAAAGAGCTCTTGGAATGTGAAAAGATTTGGGTCAGAGAAAACCTGTTGTAAGGCAACCGGATCTGGAACGTTGTTGGTTATCTTGACCACAGGAACTTCACCTGTGCCAGACAATCTTCCAACAAGTAAGGCTTCTCCATCATCATTACTAAAGACAGCAGGTCGGGTATTGGGATTTCGGAAGTAGAACCCGCCTTCAACTTCCTTCTGCGCGTAGTTCGCATGCCCGTAGAACTTAATATCATCGGTAATGCTTGCCCCGTAGTTCGCAAAAAGCTTGATGTCGTTTCTAATAATAGGATGTCCCCACGGTTGCGCGGGATCAGCGACATCCGCGTTTCCGGCACTGATGAGCGCGGCGGCATCATCGCGTTGTACAGAGCGATCTGTCTCATTCATGCCACCGTATTCTACACTGAGATTCGTCCAGAGATCCTCTCGTCCCAAACCGATATTCCCAGCGACAGCGTATGCAAGACCATCACCCGCTTGGAAAATACTGGGTTTGATTGCAAAAGATCCGCCTTCGTAACTGTCCTTGAGCTGCAGGTTTATGACCCCCGCGATCGCATCGGAACCGTATTGTGCCGATGCTCCATCTCGTAGTACCTCCAGCTGCTTCAGTGCGATGGTGGGGATAGGAGAGAGGTCGGCACCCTGTGCGCCATCGGATAACCCATTTCCGAGCCAAGCAATCACGGAGGCACGGTGACGGCGCTTGCCATTCACCAATAGTAACGTGTGATCCGGTGCCAATCCGCGTAGATTTGCCGGGCGGACGACAGTGGCAGCATCAGCGATCGGCTGTGCATTGACATTGTAAGACGGCACTAAGTTCCTCAACAGGTCAGGCAAATCCGTACCTCCCTGTTTGACGAAATCTTCACTTGGCAAAACATCTATTGGTACTGTAGATTCAAGAATCGAGCGCGGTTTCGCACGTGTACCAACCACAACTACACCCTCAAGCGTTATGACCTCCTGTTCAGATGCTCATCGCTTGATTCCATTTCAGTCTCTTGTGCTACCGCTATAGATGCCAAACCTATAAAAATAACTAAAACACCATGCATCAGAAGCAGTAACGTTTTAAAAGTAAGCCCGACTTTCATAAATGAAACTCCTTCATTTTTTAGTTAAGAAAACACCTTCATCTAAAGCATAATTTACATACACAACTTATATAAATTGAATAGGCGCGGTTTTTTGAAGATTAAAAAATTAATTCGGTAATTTCTTGGCGAAGCCGGTGCGGTTAGGAATGCAAATCGCAAATGTAAAGCATTCTCACTGCGAAGCAAAATTTTGCCGCGTGTGGACAAAATTTGGGTGAGTACACCGCAAAACCGCACCTACCGGGCCTGGGGAAAATCAGAATTACCGATTTAAATACTTAAACTTCATTCAACCGCGCCGTTTGCGAAAAGCATATAGCACTTTTCAGGAGATAGGTTTTAGAAACTGTATCCGACTTTGGCATACCAGTACGCGCCATCAAACCCAAACGGACTGAATTGTCCGTATTTGTTACCAACAGAACCAGCAGCATTCGGATTTTCATCGGGATAGGTATTAAGGATATTTCTTCCACCGAGAGTGAGAGTCAATCCGGACCCCACGGTGTAAGAGGTTTCTAAGTCGAAAATAACCCTTCCAGTGTATTCTCCAGTTCCTTCCACATCTGGATTCTGTAAGTAATCTTCAGAATCGAACCAACCGCTGAAATAACTGGCGCGCCCGAGCACGCCCCACGCATCCGTTATGGATTGAACGACAGTCAGGTTGGCACGGTGTCCGGGTAAGTTCTCTTCCAGTTCCCTGATTCGATCATCGTTCAGCGTGGCAGGATTGTGATCGGTAACTGTGGTGTTCGTGAAGTTATACACGGCAATGAGGGTTCCGTTGGGTATTGGTGCTGTAACGACAAAGTCAACACCATTGGTTGTGGTACTGAAATCATTGATAAAGAACCGGAATTGTTCCAGATTCGCCGCACTGGTTACACCTTCCTCGATGAGCTGCGCCTTCTGGACGTCATTCAATTTGAAGTCTTGTGACACAGATAACCGGTTTTTCAGCCGAATATCAAAAAAGTCAATGGTGAAATTTACGCCCAAAATATCGACGGTAAATCCACCTGTGAAGTTATTTGATGTTTCCGGGTCAAGCGAGTTATCTTCCTTGCCTGTCACAACGCCAACAGCAGCGTTGGTAGAAGGAATTGTTCCGTTATTAACGAGATCACCCTTTTCAAAATCGTATTCAGTAGTAATGTTGAACGTATTTTGCTGCCCGGGTGTCGGTGCGCGGAACCCAGTACTATAACTTCCCCGCAACCGCATCGTTTCCGTAACCTTGTAGTTTGCAGCGGCTTTGTAGTTCAGCGTGCTACCGAAACCCTCAAAGTTTTCACCGCGTACAGCAAGCGCGATCAGCAGCGGATCAATCGGTCTGATTTCAGTTTCCAGATAGGCAGCGACGTTGTAACGGTGCCACATGCCTGCCGCAACTGGGCTGAACCCTGAAAATCCGTTGGAGGCAGCAGTGAAACCTTGAGCTGCAAGAGGTCCGATCTGATGCGACTCGCGTTCGCCCTCTATGATTTCAAATCCTTCGTCCCGATATTCCAAACCAGAGGCGAGGAACACCATGTCGCTCAACGGATAGGCGACATCGAAGTTGAGGTTATAATCCGTTTGGATATAGTCGCCCGGATCAAAATATGTCGGTGTATCGGGTCCGAGTGAAGCATTGACGGTGTTAAAGATAAAGAAGTCGGCATGGTGCCGTCCAAAAGAACCACTCAGATCCCATATTAAGTCTTTACCCAACGTGTCTTTGAGTGCCGTGCCTTTAACGCCAACGACGACGGCACTATCCCAAGCGAACGCGCCAAATCTGGGCGTGAATCCCCCTGGAAACATCTCCTGGAATGTGAATAGGTTCGGGTCACTCTTGACGGCTTGCAACCGTTCTGGATCAGGAACGTGGTTGGTTATCGGGATATTGTCAGCATCGTGAGGCGACAGTTCGGAAAACGCCTCTCCGGCCTCCACTGCTGCCGCATTTTGAGTTTCCCAAGCCGCCTTTCGGGTTTCCCAAGCCGCCGTCTCGGCTGTCAAACCTCGCAAATCCCCCGACGAGCAAAGTCTCACCGCCATCACCGCTAAACACGCCACTGCGAGTATTTGGATTTCGGAAATAGAATCCGCCTTCAACCCGCTTGCGGGCGTAGTTAGCATGTCCATAGAACTTGATGGTATCTGTGAGGGTAGCGCCGTAGTTGGCGAAGAATTTGAAGTCATTCTCCACAATCGGCTGTCCCCAAATTTGCGCAGGATCTTTCACACTAAAATTGCCTGCGTTAATCATGTTTAAAGCATCAGTGCGTTGGACAGACCGGACGGTCGGATCTGCACCACCGTATTCAAAACTGAGATTCGTCCATGCATCTGGACTCCCTAAACCGATGTTACCAGCAACAGCAAACTGTCGCCCGTCGCCATATTGGTAGATACCGGGTTTAAATTCAAACGAACCGCCTTCGTGGTTGTCTTTCAATTGAAAATTCATCACACCAGCAATGGCATCAGAACCGTATTGTGCGGATGCGCCATCACGGAGGATCTCTACCTGTTGCAGCGCGATTGCCGGGATAGGTGCCAGGTCAGGTCCCTGTGAACCATCAGACAAACCGTTCCCGAGCCAGTGGATAACCGATGCACGGTGTCGCCGCTTGCTGTTCACCAACACCAATGTATGGTCCGGGGCAAGCCCTCGTAAATTCGCCGGACGCACCACCGTTGACGCATCACTAATCGGTTGTGTATTGATGTTATAAGACGGCACCAAAGTTCTCAGCAAATCCGGTAGATCTGCGCCGCCCTGTTTCTCAAAGGATTTGCTTGACACAATATCGATCGGGACCGCTGAATCCAAGACAGAACGCGGTCTTGCCCGCGTACCCACAACAACAAGGTTTTCAAGCCTTACAGGCGCATCCGCTTCAGATGCTTCTTCAGATGCTTCAGCATCATTTGTGGCTTCCGATTCTTCTGCTTCTTCCGAGTGCTCTTCCGCCATAACCGTCGTAAACGAGCACATCAAGATGGCTATGATCATGCTGAGCGTTAGAATGACCGGTTTAACGTGATTTTTATAAGACATACAATTTTCCTTATGGTTTTGGCGTAAACGCCAGATCTTCCACTACTGATTTCACAACTGATGATGAATTAACAAACTATTTAATAAATTAATAACGTTAGAAAACGTAGTGATTAATCTACGCATCCTTTACAAACACAAAATGTTACTACAATTATACTGAATTTCACACGATTATGCAAATTATCACACAAGAATTGTAGTACATAGCCCAAAATTGCTGAATTAATTGATTTTAGGTATCGGCATTTCGTTAAGAATACGTAAGTTCGATAAATAGTAAGAGTAACGTCCGTTCGACTTAACGCGTAGGTAATCAGCACCGACTGCCCGTACAGCATTCGGTGGATTGAACGGAGCATCACTAAAACCGAAGAAACCAGATGACTTTCAAGTATATCCAGAGACTTGAAATCATTAGCTGCTTCGTTGGGTTTCGCTATATCCATCTATACGAAGCGGTCATTGAGAAGCAGCATTTTCCATATAATACCCAATTAACGTGATTAGAAGTCTTTTGATCAAGTGAGCATTGCGAGGCACAGGGACCTCGCACTACAAATGGGGTTAATTTGGTATTATACCCAATTAACGTGATTAGAAGTCTTTTGATCAAGTGAGCATTGCGAGGCACAGGGACCTCGCGCTACAAATGGGGTTAATTTGGTATAATACCCAATTAACTTGATTAGAAGTCTTTTGATCAAGTGAGCATTGCGAGGCACAGGGACCTCGCACTACAAATGGGGTTAATTTGGTATAAGTTGTAGGGGACTTGGTCATTACGGCTTTACCCAACCTACGTATACACTACCTTTTTATTATCGAACTCGCGTTTCTCTACACTTCATCAAACCCTGTTAGTGAGGTTTTCGAGTGTCGCGACCGGGAGGTTGCTTATACAGGGAAGATTTCTGAAAACGAAATATAGGTGTGCGTGGGACAGAGAAGAGCTACAAATCCCGATAACAAAAATAGAGACAAGGAAATACTAAATGGCTGTAACAAAATTTAGACTTGACAATGAAAATATGTTGGTATATACTTAATAATGTGCTAAACTTGGTGTTATACACCGTCTAGCATAATCAAATAGCCAAGCCTTCACCAAATAACCACGTTAGTTAGAGTAAAAATACATTACTATGGCAAAGAAAAAGGGGCGTCGCTCCACAAATGTGGCACGGAAGCGTGAAAAACGCAATCGTGACCGGAAATCCAGACAAAAGCAACTTGCACTTGAGAAGCAACGTAGACTCCCTCATGAAAAATCGGAAGAAGAACATCTACACGCCTGCATCTCACAGAGCCGAGAACTGCTTGATGAACCTGAGTTTGAGGGCGTATATTTCGACCCGATACTGATGCACAAACGAGTGATGGAAGTACTTGAACACGATGAAACAGAGAATACAGACGCACCCATAGATATATCGGAATATCTTGTTGAGCCTGAAGAAGACTCAGTCTATCTTACAAATGTAAATGTAGATGAAGCAATCATAAATGAGGATCAACCAATCATAGTGCCAGAAGCAGAAGAAGCATGCGATCATTTTCGCTTAGAGGTGCTCCCGCATCTGGTTACACCAGATTTTATACAAAAATTAACACAAGCACTTACAGCATGTGAAACACGCCTCAAGTTCACAGGCAACCGAGAACTCGCTGAGGTTGCTTTCGTTACCCGTTCGCTTTTTGAAGCGGCACCGCCGGAGATATTGGCGTTTCACCCAATGATTCAAACCATCGGTATCGAAACGTTACGCGCACTCGTGGAAGAAATAGACGTAATTATTGACGGGCGTGAAGATGTCAAAGAGATTCTTTCGGATGTTCTGGCACAAGAAGATTCAGAAACATATCAATCTCAACCTATGTCCGTCTTTTCAAATACAGGTTTAGACGAGGATATCCCAAAAAACGATGAGATTGAATCTGATCCCGTCGAATCGGTTTCTCTCCATACGGAAGTGATAGATGCAGAAGAAGTCGTTATTGAAGACAGTTTACCTACGTCTATAGAGGCAGAAAGGGATCTGCCTGCGGCATCTGCTCAACCTGTTGAGCCAGAGCCGGTTGGCCTTCAGGAAACAATTCCATCAGAAATAGCACCGCCTCCACCAACCCTGTCACCTGATGAACTTCCGGCATGCGCGCTTTATAAAAATTTTAACGGTTTAGCTATAAAAGATAACTTTGAAGAGTCAATAGACGACGCGTCTTTACAAGAAGGGTTTGCAAACTACGTTTTGGTGAACGAGAACGAAGAACAAATTGAATTTGCTGACGTGGAGAATGAACGGTACATTACAGTCACCGAAGAGAGACTACAATTACATGCCCGTTCAGAAACAGATCTTATTATCGCAATGGCAGAGGTAGAAGCGCGCTGCACATCCGTAGTCATGTATCTCGCCAAAACGATCTAAGAAAGGAGGTAAATTATGCCAAGAAGTAAAAGCGGACAGGTCCGGCGCCGGACACAAATCCGTCAACGCCAACTCCGACGGCTGAAAAGACAGAAAGCGGCATTGAAAGAACTTCTGCAGAATCGCGAAGCGTAATAGCGTGATAGGCACACCCGGTGTTGCGGCGGGTCTTCATGCCCGCCTACGTCTCTATTAACGTTCCGTGTCTCCTACTTTCTCGAAATGTACAAACTCTGAAGTTTGCAAGCGCACAGAGTCCCCACCACTTTCCTCAACATATCCCATCCTGAGTAGCGTAATCACCTCATGAGAGGTAGGAATATTGAAAAGTTGGCGGATATGCTCACGATCTGCCGCGCGTTCGAGCGGCGGACTCACAAACTGCACACCGATTTTCAGGGCAGTCGCAGCGAGAAGCATGTTTTGGATTAACATCCCCATGCTCAACCACATCCACCGAGTTCCACCATCACCTGGTGGATACCTTTTACAATTCATTGTCACCAAGATAAGAAGCGGTGCCTCGCGCACTTGTGCGGCAATTTCTTTGGCAGGTATTTTACCCGCGCCCAAATGCCCCAAAAGCGTGAAAGACTCGCATTTTTTAACAACCCTTGCAATAACTTTTCAGGCGCATCCTGAAGCGGTTTCGGTAGCGTGACGTGTTCTGCCAGCAGAACGCCGTCGCCGTGTTCCTGCCATTCCGCTTCTGTAAGACGCATCCAACGACTGTTGTCATCCAGAAACTTTGCATCCTTGAATTGCTCAACGACAGCACGCTCTGTCGCATCGGCGAGTGCTATTTTGGCTTCTGTTTCCTGAATGATTACAAGCTCCCAAGGTTGGACGTTGAATGGTGAAGGTGCCCATCGCGCCGCTTCAATGAGTTTTTCAAGGTCATCAGTATCTATTGCGCGTTCCTGAAAGGTTCCGCGATGACTTCGGCGCAGCGTCATTGCATCAAAAATATTCATAAATTCGTAAGACTCCGATGGCGTTCTAAGATTTCCGTCGATGAGGCGGTGCCGGTCGTACCGATTTTAGTGACAGTAATTGAAGCCACGAGATTTCCAGTATAAGCAGCTTCAACAGCAGCATCAACGCCAAGACTACAGAGTGTCGCCACAAGCCCTGCCGAGACGCTGTCTCCCGCCCCGACCGGATCAATCTCATCACTACTTGAGATACCGGGAATGTGCGTGAACTCACCTTACAGTAGACAAGGATACCAGTTTTCCACCGAGGGTGATGTACACGGTATTTTGGGTCTGTTCTGCGAGGGTAACGGCGCACTGTTTCGCTTCTTCAATATCAACTTCCTGTCCGTCCCATTCTGGCTGACAGCACGTTTTGCCTCAAAGCGGTTCGGTTTAATGATGACGTTTTTATATTTATCAATCCGCGTACGTGAGTCGGCAAAAAAGATAATTTCAGGAAATGCCAATGCTAATTCACACAATTCCTCTCTCACGTGGTTGGTGACAACACCTAAGTTCTCAAGTGGCATCTGATCACCAATGATTATACCATCAACAAGCGGAATACACGCTTGGATCGCGTCAATAACGGACGCTTCAACTTCCATCTTCATTGCGGATTGATTCTCAATATCAAACCGCGGTCCCTCCGTTTCCACACCTTCATATCCACGGTGAATCGGTTTAAGATAGGTAGGTGTCACCCAATTCGGCACCTGTACCATAAAATCCGTCAGGCATCCACTTGCCTGTAGACAATTGAGCAGTGTCCCTCCAAATCCATCTTCGCCGATAACGCCTAACGTATAGACCGTACCTACACCTAATGCTTTCAGGTTATTTGTGACGGTCCCTGCTGCGCCGGGGCTATAGCGTTGTTCAACGACGGGATTGGTGTGCCACGGCGTTTCTAACGACAGCGTCGAGCGTGTCTTGTCAATGTACCAGTAGGCATCAAGGTAAAAATCTCCAATGACAAGTATTCGCTGGTCGCGAAAATGATCGAGAATTGTCTTCAGGCGCGCGTCGCTAATCAAGGTATTCCTCCGATGTTTCAAAATAGATCGCAATGCCGACAATCATTATAGCATATCAATGTTTTTTGCAGAAATACCAAATTTCCCAATTTGCAATATCCGCCCAGATGTGGTAAAATTAAGGAGTCCCAAAATTCATTACACTTAGGACTTACGCATCAAAACGCTGTTGGGATGGATGGCTTCGGCTTTCGTGCCCATCCAGACATGAACGCACGCAGGGCACGAAAGCCGAAGCCATCCTGCGGAACATAGTCGAGACGAACGTAAATTGCGTAAGTCCTGACACTAACATCTGGAGAAAAATTTATGTATAAAATCGGTCTCATTCCTGGCGATGGAATCGGCCCCGAAGTGACGCGTGAAGCGATGAAGGTCTTCGGGGCAGCAGCTGCACACGCAGGCATTCAGTACGAAACAGTCGAATACGATATCGGCGGTGACCGGTACCTTGCCACTGGTGAGGTGCTACCGGATTCCGTATTAGAAGAACTTCGAGGGTTTGATGCTATCTACCTCGGTGCGATTGGACACCCCGACGTTAAACCCGGAATTTTAGAGAAAGGTATCCTGCTAAAGGTCCGGTTTGAACTTGATCTCTATATCAACCTACGTCCCGTCAAACTCTACCCGGGCGTACCGACCCCGCTGAAAGACAAAGGCCCCGAAGAAATTGATTTTATCATCGTTCGCGAAAATACCGAAGGCTTATACGCAGGCATCGGTGGCTTCTTGAAACGTGGCACGCGCGATGAAGTTGCCATTCAGGAGATGATTAACACCTACAAAGGTGTGGAACGCTGTGTCCGTTATGCTTACGAACTCACCCAAAAGCGGAACAAGGAAAATACCTTGACACTCTGCGATAAAGCAAACGTCCTCACCTACGCACACGACCTCTGGCGACGCGTTTTTGACGAGGTCGGTGAAGACTACCCTGACATCAAAAAAGAATACGCATTCGTCGATGCGACAACAATGTGGATGGTGAAAAATCCAGAGTGGTTCGATGTCGTTGTGACATGTAATATGTTCGGTGACATTATCACCGATCTCGGTGCGATGATTCAAGGCGGTATGGGAGTCGCAGCATCGGGCAATCTGAATCCTGAGAGTGTCGCCATGTTTGAACCGATTCACGGGTCTGCCCCTCGTTATACTGGCAAAAACCAGATTAACCCCATAGCAGCGATCGGCGCGGCAGGAATGATGCTTGACCACCTCGGTCATGAAGACGCGGCAGCAAAAGTGGAAACATCTATCAGCGATCTACTCGCAAGTGGGAAAATCAAAGATCTCGGTGCCGGACGTATGGGTTATACGACTGAAGAGGTCGGTGATCTCATTGCAGAAGGATTGTAAATATTCACAGGTAGGCGTATTTTTCAAAGCGTGCATCCTGAAAGAACATACCTATAATAAACGTTTAGAGCGTTGCAATCTCAGGCGCGACGTGCCGTAAAGTTAATCCGGTCTGAGTGGCGGTTCCATCGGCTGAAGGTGTACATATCGTAAGCACTCAATGGTATGTAGCCAGCCGCTTTGAGTAGATCATTGACAGTGGACACTTCAAAGATTCGCTGCTGGTGAACCTCCTCATAGCGTCGAAACAATTCACCTTCACGGATAAAAAAAGTCAACAGGGTGCGGCACATCTTGGTGTGAGAGAGGTAGTTATTTTTCCAGATGTAGGTATAGTCCTCATGGTTTGCGGCGAACGTTTTTGCTGTGAAAATGTTCAACTATGTTCCGTTCTGTCGTCACATCGAAGATAAATAATCCGTCGGGTTCGAGATGCTCAGCAACGCATTGAAAAACATTGCTTAACTCGGTTTCATCGTAAGCATAGTTAATGCTATCATAGGTGCAGAGGACTGCGTCAAACCGCTGGTTCAACTGAAAATCACGCATATCGCCGTAATGCAATTCAATTTCCAGTTCGTGTGCTGTTGCTTTCTCTTTGGCGATGTCTAACATACCGATTGCCCGGTCCACGCCGGTCATCTCATAGCCTTTTAATGCGAGTTGTATAGTCAAGGCACAAGTGCCGCATGCTAAATCGAGGACGCGACGGGGTTTACAATCATATTTTTCAAAGAGAGACTCAATGTAGTGTGTCCAGCGCGTATAATTGACGTTTGTCATTATCCGATCATAGGCGTAGGCAAATTTTTCATAAGGGGAAGTCAGATGTATCTGCATTGTCTAAGTGTCGCTTGCAAATTGATAATGCAAGTCACTCGGTCCCTCCTTTAACTCCGACAGAGGCATTCATCATCCGTAGGAGCGTGTTAATTTCATTAGCGTCCCAAACTTTGATCATCGTTTGCTTCAATGGCATATCTGCCAACGGCTCGGATCTTGCGGAGGCTAATTTTTCCAGTAAGGAAACTGAATGGGAGCTGCATACCAGCGGTTTTGACCCGATCAAACGTAGTCTCGATGTCATACTGTTCAACGCCTTCAGGTGCTTGTTGAATGAGTGTGTCCTTCACCATATCCACGCCAAAACTGAATAACTCTTTGATGATAAACCATTGCAAAACTGCAAGGCATACTGTAAAGATTAAGAGCACCGTCAAACCCTTGACAATGTACCGCCTCCACCTCCTGTTCTGAACGCTCATGTTCAATTCACCTCTGGGTCGGATTCCATATTTGTCCTTATACTACCAGTTTACACAGACATTGTCAATTAGATTTTCCCAACATCAGCGAGGTTAGAAATCTCACCAGCGAAATAAACAGGTCGACAGAAAAAATGAAAATAGGTATTGTAGGCAGACCACAGGTCGGAAAAACGACAGTGTTTAACACTTTAGCGCAATCTAATGCAGAAGTTGGCGGCTACACGAGCCGCGGACAAATCAACCTCAGTACTGCGAATGTTCCAGACGAGCGTCTGGCACGTTTGGCAGAGATCTTTGAATCCCCCAAAATAACACCCGCTACAATTGATTATGTAGATGTCGCCGGGGTGACCAAATCGGATATAGAACAGGCGGAATTAGATTCCGGGATGCTTGCGGAACTCCGCACCGTTGATGCTCTTGCACATGTCGTTAGGTTTTTTGAGGACGCATCGGTTCCACACGTTGATGGCAGCGTTGACGGAGAACGCGATATTGAAAGCATCTCTCTTGAGTTCGCGTTGGCAGATCTGCAAATTGTTGAAGGTAGACTTAGCCGATTTGCGTAAGCAATTTCAAAACCAAAAACTCCCCGAACAACAAAACGAGATTCGGCTTTTAGAAGAGTGTCAGCAGACTTTAGAGAGCGGAAAACCGCTCCGTGCGCTTGACCTATCTGCCAATGAAAGAAAAGTTGATACGCGGCTACGGGTTTTTGACGCAGAAACCGTTGTTGCTGGTCTGCAATATCGGTGAAGCGCAACTTGAAGCGGCAGATGAAATTCTCAAACACTTCGCTAAATACGAAACAGAACCGCAAACAGCAGTCATTGTTCTCGCCGCGCAATTAGAGATGGAGCTGTCCCAACTCGATGAAACGGATACCGAGATTTTCATGGAAGAGTTGGGATTGCGTGAATCCGCTTTAGAGCGATTTATTCAGACCTCGTATAGGCTGTTAGGGCTGCTCACATTCTTTACAATCGGGCCAGTCGAAACACGGGCATGGACGCTGCAGGCGGGACAAACCGCTGTTGACGCAGCAGGCCGTGTCCATACCGACTTTGCGAATGCATTCATCCGTTCAGAGACGATCAACTGGGAAGACTTAGTAACATGTGGCAGTTATCCACAAGCGCGGCGTCGAGGCTTACTGAGAGCCGAAGGCAAAACGTATCAGGTCCAAGAGGGTGATGTCCTACTCATTTTAGCGAACCCAACGAACTAAAGGAGGGCAGTCAGCCATCAGCAGTCAGCAGTCGGTATTCCGCCGTCAACAGTTTCCTTTGCTTGATAAAAGAAACCAACTGTTCAAGGATGTTCACTGAAGGTTTTCAATACGCAGGGTCTTTTGGCTTTCGCACACATAATTTATGAACACACTCAAATTATGGTAAAACCCACAATTACTTGGACATTGCGGGAGGCGAGGATACAATCCTCGCCAGCGGGGTGAGAGTTTCGTTCGTTGAGCAACTGTCTACATATTTTTAGGTTTTACCATAAACATCTCATCTCGCAAATCCGCGATCGCGTCCATCATCTGATTGCCCATCTGCTGATACTTTTCGCGTCTCGTCTCAAATTCTCCGGTGATAAGTTCAAGGGGTTCACCAAATATAACAGTTAGCTTTGCGCGGCGGAGTCGTTTGCTGTTGCGCGGCAATATCCGTTCCGCGCCACTATGAAACACTGGAATCGTCGGTACACCGGCTCGGTCCGCAATAAAACATGCCCCGTCATGTGCTTTACCTAACGTGCCATCAACGCTACGGGTCCCTTCTGGAAACATCAGCACAGTGTTGCCGTCTTGCAAAAGTGAGATAGTCTTTCGCAATGCGCCTAAGTCCGGCGCGCCTCTATTGACAGGGTAGGCATTATAAATTGAAATGAGTTTCCCTAAACCCGGGATGTCAAATGCGTTACTTCGTGCCATGAAATGAATTTCACGACTTGCAGCGGAACCAACAATTACAGGATCAAGGAAACTAACGTGATTTGACACGAATAGCACGCCACCTTCCCTCGGAATGTGGTGAACGCCTCGTGCTTCAAGGTGCCCCACAGTTTTACAAAAGAGGTTTGTAAGCCGATGTCCCCATCGGTAGATTGGACGGGGTGTCCAGAATTGATTGTTGGTATACCACATAATGTTACTTTGAACCGATCTCGTCTTTAGACACCTGCGCTATAATAAAATCAACCACTTCATTAATCGTTTTATCGGTTGTATCGACGACGATTGCGTCGTCAGCAGCACGGAGCGGACTATGTGCCCGCGTTTTATCCTTCTCATCACGATCACTAATCTCAGCTTCACTGGTGGAACTGGCGCTGACCTTGACTGCTGGTCTACTTGTGGCTTGTTCCCCCCTCTTCCTACTGAATAAGCTGTTAGGGCTTCTCTTTCCGCTCCATCTGGGTGTGTTGCTAGGTCGTTTGTGGTGTTACTTGTTTTTCTTTGTGTTTTGGGCCTTCCTTTTCTGGTATCGCCTTGGGAGAGAAACTCCTGCTGGGTGGGCCGCAATTCTATCTGCGTTTTGTCTTTGGAGCTCAGTGAGTCTCCGCTTCGCACGTTCTGTCACAGAGGCATCGAGATAGAATTTAAAAATCGCATTCTTGGTACTATACCATAACCATTACTGTCGCCCTGGCTTTAGATTTTCTCGTGTCCCTTTTCCAGGTCCGATGATATCCTGTCGCCCTCCCGCGTGTGCCGCTTGCCTCCTCCATGCATTCCCCCGGCCCTGCACCCATTCCCTACCTGTACTACCTCGCCCTGTTATTCCTGCTTGATCGTTCAATTCTCATCTTGCGTGACCCTCTGCTGGTTCTTGTTTGCTAACATCCTCATACCTATCCTACAGCTCCAACTGTCTATAGCACGCCACGGTTCCTCCGGACACTCCACAGTTAACAGACAACACTCTCTTTCTTCGGCAATTTGAGCCATAAACCTGTTTACCTTGCTCGTCCTACTTTACGCGCTCCCTTAATGTGGGCTCTCGGTAGTGCCTCCAGCTTGACCCTGATTTCTTTGCCTCCGTTTCCGGTCGTCTACTATTTCTCGTGTCCCTCGCCCCACCCTTGTTTCGCCCCACTTCCTTTCTGCTGAGTATTTTCCCGATATTACAGATCGCGCTCCTCCACCGCTGACCACTCTGCACCTGCCCTCACAGCAGTTCAAGACTCTCGCTGCAAGTCCCCCCCTGAGCTGCCCCACCGTACTCTGCCCAACACACACGCTCCTCTCCTCTTGCCCCTGCCCCTGGCTTCAAGATCCTGTTCCCTTTTACGACTCAGCACTCCTTGGAATTCGATTGACCAGAGATTCTAGTGTCCCGAGTTTTTCTGTGCGCTCGAGCTCCCGCACGGTGCAAGGCTCGCTGTGCGTCTTCTCCATCATAAACCCGGCTCAGGTTGTGCCTCGACTGCTATCGTGCATTCCGTCCTTGCCCCCGGCGATACTCTCTGACATCCGCCTTTTTGCGTTCATCGGAGCCTCTCCCTCACTCAGCCTCCCTCTTTTTTCGCTCTCTGTCACTGTCTGTGTTTGACGGCTCACATCCGTACGTGCCGCCCGCTGCCCTGCCAGGTCGAGCGTAGCCGCCTTCCAACAAGCGCCTTCTTCACTCGTAGGCGTGCGATATTTCGATCTTCTTTGACAGCAGCCTATAACGTTTGCGTGCTCCTCCTCTCTGAAACTGCTGTCCCGGCTCCTTAAGGCGGCTT